AAATGGACTTGCCTTTTGACCAAGCAATTCCACTGCTGGGATTATATATGAAGAATCCTGAAACACTAATTCAAAAGAACCTATGCACCCCAATGTTCATAGCAGCACAATTTACAATAGCCAAGTGCTAGAAGCAGCCTTGGTGACCATCAGTAAATGAGTGGATCAAAAAACTGTAGTACATTTACACAATGGAATACTGCACAGCAGGAAGAAAGAAGGAGCTCCCCACCTTCAGGACAGCATGGATGAAACTGGAGAGAATTATGCTGAGTGAAATAAGGTAGTCAGTGAAAGACAAATACCATATAATCTCACTTATAAGTGGAACCTAATTAACAAAACAAACAAGCAAGCAAAATACAACCAGAGACATTGAAATTAAGAACAAACTGACAGTAACCAGAGGGCAGGGGCAGGGAAATAATGGAGGAAAGAAGGGGAAGGGTTGTAAATGAACACGTATAAAGGACCCGCGGACAAAGCCAGAGAGGGGTAGGATTGAGGGTGGGAGGTGGGGGTAGGTGGGGCAAGGGAAAGTGGTGGTGGGAAATGGAGACAACTGTACTCGAACATTAATTTAAAAATGATTTAATATATATATATATATATATAAACAGCCCTGGCTGGTGGCTCAGTGGATTGATCACCAGCCTGTGAACCAAAGGGTTGCCAGTTTGATTTCCAGTCAGGGCACATGCCTGGGTTGCAGGCCAGGTCCCTGGTAAGGGCACCAAGACACAACCACATGCTGATGTTTCTCTCTCACTCTTTCTTCCTTCCTTCCACTCTCTCTGAAAATAAATAAATAAAATCTTAAAAAAAATATATATATATATATAAACACTATGACTGCTATGTGTAGTGTCACTAAACATAAACATAGAAGCAGAAAGTCTATAAATGTGAAATATGCCTCTTGCGAAGAAAAGTTGTTTTTTTCATTCCTATATGTTGAAACCTATATTTTTGATAGAACAATTGGATGGATGCTCCAGACATGAAAACTAATCTAATCCATCTTCCTCACTTTAGTGTGGTCATTTTTATCCATTTTTATCCTTCATGGTTTATTCATCTATTTCACCAGTGCAGAAACTGATGCCCAGGCAGGGAAAATGTCTTCCCAACTTGCCACCAGTTAGAAACAGCTAAGACTCCTTCCTCACTCTCATCCACCTCTCCATCTTCTTCTTTCCCAACTCATGCGACAGAGCCCTCCTCCCCAGCCAAGGCAGGCTTCAGTGAGGCTTCCTGATTTTGTATGTGTACGCAAGTGCAAACCCAGTTCCCTTTTATAAGATGTTAGTCTAACACACATATTAAAAGTGCACACATCATAACTATTCACAATGAGCATGCTCATGTAACCTGAACCCAGATAAAGAAACAAAATATTAGCAGCACCCCAGAAAACCCCTTCTAGTCATCTAGGCTGAACATAACCCTGACTCCTAACACCATAGATTAGCCTGTTTTGGAGCTTTACAGCACATACACTTCTACATCGGGCTTCTTTTTTACAAATATTTTATTTATTTATTTTTAGACAGAGGGGAAGAAGAAAGGGAAAGAAACGTCACTATGTGGTTGCCTCTCACATGCCCCCTACCAGGGACCTGGCCTGTAACACATGCACGTGCCCTGATAGGGAATTGATCCAGTAACCCTTTTGGTTCACAGGCTGGCACTCAATGCACTGAGCCACCCCAGCCAGGGCTACATGTCAGGCTTCTTTTGCTTACCATACTGTCAGTGAGATTCATCCATATAGTTGCGTTTGGTTATAGAGTGCTCACTCTTGTTGTTGTGTTAATATTCTATAGTGTGCCCATACTGCAATGTATTTATCCACTTGCCTGTTAAGAGACATTTGGGTTGTTTCCAATATTGAGCTAATAAGAATAATGTTGTTCTGAATGGTCTTGTGGTGCACGTATACCCACATTTCTTTGGAGTTGCTGGGTCATAAGGTATGTGTGTGGGCATTTGGCTCTAGTAGATAGTGACAAATAGTTCTCCACAGTGACTGTGCCAAGTTACACTGGCAGCAGCAGTGGATGAGGTTCTGCTCACTCCACGTCCCCACAGATGATCACTAACCCTTTTCATTTAAGAAGGTAGATGCTTGTGGGGAAGGCTGCCATCAAGTTGCCTGTATTTGAATCCCAGTTCTCTTCTTACCTTTAGACTTCCAGCAAAGCCGGTTCACTAGTCTACGAATAGGTTGAAAATCATGGGGCTGTTAAGATCTCACAGAGCAGTGAGGTTAGTCTCCATAAACATTGGCTATTTACAGTTAATTCTCACTGGGATCCAGCGAATCACTTCACCCCTCTTCACCCCTCACAGCCTTGGTTTCTCCTTCTGTAAAATTGTGATAAAAATACTGATAACCACATATACACAGTTGAGAGGATTACCAACAAATGAAATTGTGTATTAAAGTGCCTATTTTTTACTGAGATATGATACAATATTATGAAATTAACCCCTTTTCAGTCACTTGTAGCACATTCACAAAGTCGAACAACCATCACACTAATTCTGCATTTCCATCACCCTAAAAGAAACCCCATACCCTTTAGCAGTGATTCCCCATTTCTTCACACTAACTACTCCCAACCCCGCAGCAACTGCTAATGTACTTTTTACTTCTATGGATGGTAAAAGTTCTGAATCTTTTCTGTTTTTTAACTTTTGAAAAGTGAAATACCTTGCACTGGGACAGGCACATAATATACACTTAATAAATGTTATCTCTGTGTGTGTGTGGATGGATGGATGGATAGTTAGCACAACTGAGTAGGTAGATATAGCACAAACCCATTCACTCAGCAAATACTCATTTGCATATTTGTACTTGAGAGGAAAAGAGTCTGTAGAGAGAAATAGATGTGGTTTTTGCTTTCTGGGAATTCTCCCTCTAGTGGGGAAGAGAGGTATGTGCACCACTCTCTGTGAACACAGAGCCAGATGAAATTGGTTGTATCTGAGCAAGGGTTGTGGAAACTGGGGGAACACGTGGGAAGTGCAAGTGGCACTTCTAGGATGGCTGAGCTTTCCCAAAATGAAAGGGAAGTCTGGGGGACATATCCTGAGAACTAAGACTGGGAAAGAGGCAGGGTATAGTGTCTGGCAGGATTACCAGGACCTTGTCCTGCATCTTCATGGTCATGAACAGGACTCATGTGATAAGAAGCTATGAACACAGAACAGTGGGTGATAGAGGTCAAATGGGAAAGGGAGCAAGAAGGTGAGCTGGGTCAGCTCACACAAGCCTATGGTGAGCTGGTCATCTGGGCAAGAGCACCCTGAAAACGTCTGTGCCCGCTGCCAGGTGTGCCAGGCCCCTCATACCACCAGCTGGTTGGACTTCTCCAGTAGCAGTGTGGCTAGAAGGATTTTTAAGAGCAGAGGGCTGCAGCCTCATGCATGAGGGAGACTGGACCTCAAAGTCAGGCTTGGTTCTGCCCTTTCTTAGCTGGGAGCAAGTGTATCACCTCTCTGAGCCTGTTTCTTCACCTGTAAAGTAGAGGCAATATACTTACTGCAGGAGGGTTAGAGACGATGGTTGAGAGGTTGAACACAGTGCCTGGAATGAGGAGTGCATGCTTCCTTAAATGGCAAAAAAAAAAAAAAAAAAAAAAAAAAGGTTGGGGAGGCTAGCTAAGGCACACAAAGCACACATTCAAAGCCCAGTATTTAGTGTTTTGGGGGGAAATTAGTAATTATATATATATATATGTATATATGTATATGTATATATACACGTATACCATTTTAATTGAAGACGTGGTCATGGAAGAAATCAGAATTCATGGACTTCATTGCATGTATTGTGCAGTTTAGAGTTTTGCTTTGAATTACACCGGTAGGGATGGTCTTTCTAGTGCTTAGTCCCCCAAAGGTGTTATCAGGCCCTGAGGAGGATGGAGATGAGGTGCAGTGACTTGTTGAGTAGTAGCTGGGGAAGCAGAAGGCCGTAGGGTGAGGGATATGACCCATTCTACTGAGACCCAGCTCAGGGGGAAGTCTCTTGAATCAAAGGACATTCAACTGGGGAGATTGTCTCCTGGAGATGGGAGGCCTGGGGGAACATGGTGGGATGAGCTGGGGATGCTGATGGCAGAGGCTTAGAGCCAGAGGTGGTGAAAATTGTAGGACCCTGAGAAATCACTGAATTCAGCCTCCGATTTCATAGGTGGAGAGACAGAGCCCCAGTAAGACAGATTTGCCTAGAGTCATTCGTGGAGTTATTGGCAGAGCCAGAATCAATTCAGGTCTCTGCTTAAGCCAGGACCCCTGAAGCTAGGAGATGTCAAGGGACCCTGCTTTCTACCCCTGTCCCACTACAGTGGCCACCAGATCCTCTTAGCCTCAATGTAAGGCGGACCTCAGGGTGGGTGAAAGGAGGTTCCCCAGAGCACCTGAGCAGATGGCCTGCCTAGGGGATATCCAGGGGGAGGAGACCAAGGCTCCGCCTTGCGGGCTGTCACCCATCACCACGGGTACTGATTCTGCTTGGCCTAGCAGGATTCACATTCGAAAAACCATCTGAGGCTCTGTGCAGTGCAGTGATAACTATAACGGCAACTGGGGGTCCTGAGACCCTCCAGTGGGCTAGGCCAAACTAGACTTCTGAGAGGCGCTTCCAGCTGTGTGGATGAGTTCGAGGAGGTGAATGGGAGGCAGGAGATCAGAGAGGGCAGGAGGGTAGTTGTTAGGCGAGGAGCTTCACGGGAAGCCCTTCTGAAAGTGGGAACCCCAGGCACTAAAGTGCTTTCAGGCTCAGGTGTGCATGACTTATAATCGAATCCTGAGACATCTTTTGGGCTAAGTAGGGCGGTTCCACCAAAGTCCAAGTGGTCACAGCAGAAGGAACAGCGTTTGGGAAGGTAGGGACTTACTCCTCAAAGGGGCTCCGGAGTGCTCCCACGTGACGTTTTATTTTAATTTAAGCCCCGCCTCTGTCCACTCCCTCACGCGGAGTACTCACGGCCCCGCCTCCTCCAGCAACCTACCGGGACAGAGGGGCGGGGCGATGCTAATGAAGTCTGTCGGGCCACAGTAGCAGCCGTGCGGCTCCACCAAGCCTAGGAGAGGGGGCAGCAGCGATGGCCCTGACCGGGACGCTGGCCGGTCTGGCCGCGGGTTTGCAGGGCCCACGGGTCGGCCCCAGCCCGGACTCGGACTCAGACACAGACTCGGAGGACCCAAGTACCCGCCGCAGCGCCGGCGGGCTGCATCGTTCACAGGTCATCCACAGCGGTCACTTCATGGTGTCGTCTCCGCACAGCGACACGCTGACCCGGCGGCGGGACCAGACAGGGCCCGTGGGACTCGCCGACTTCGGGCCGCGCAGCATCGACCCCACACTTACTCGTCTCTTCGAGTGCATGAGCCTGGCCTACAGGTGAGGGCGGCTCCTGGGCCCGACGGCCTCAGCCCTCCATGGCGGGACCACGCACTGGGGCCCCGGACACCCCGCCCGTCCCGAACCTTGGTCCCTGGCTGTTCTCCAAGACTATGGGCACATCCTGGATTCCCCCTCCTCCCACCCTGAGCGTCCTCTGACCCTGGCTCAGGCTGCTGATCCCCAATGGGCCCGCGCACCTTCTGCTTCTTACCCTCACAACCATCACTCTCCCCAGGGCACAGACCGCCTGCCCTCCACCTTGACCTCCGTAGGCCCACCGGGGCCCCCTCCCCATCCCCACTCCTCTGCTCACAAAGATGCCAAGGCATCCCTCGTGCTCCCAGGACCCTAAACCATCCTGTCACCCCCCCACCTGGGGGCCACTGTACCCGATCACCTGCAGCCTTCCACACACCGCAACAGTCCCAGTCCACACTAACTCTATTTCTGCACCCTCGCGATTCGCCTCTTGCCAAACGGTTATCCCAATTCGTTGCCAACCGTTGATTGAAATCCAGTTTCTCATCCTGCACCCTCCCCCCCCCACCAATTGCCAGGACACCTGTTTTTGACCTGCCAGGTCGAGGGTGGCATGAAGAGGATTCTCCAGGTGGACCCAGGGGGACACATCTTGCAGAGCTTCCCAGCCGTGGCCGGGCAGGGGGTGCTGCAGGCCCTGAAGGGCTGGTGCCCTGGAGGCCTGGGCTCCCATACCCCAGTCCCGGCTGAGGCTGGGCGCCTAAGACCTCTTGCTTGGTGCACTGCAGAGAGCAGCCACTTGGCTCCAGCTCCATGCCTGCGTCCCTGGGGAGGGTGCGAACCTGGGTCCTGGCCCACTGCCCTGGAGCAAAGTTCCCCAGAGCTGAGGGGCCAGGATAAATTATCAACGGAAAACCACAGGGTATAAAGGGGGATCGGCAGGCCTTGATCTTTTCTCTGCAAATATTCCTTTTCCTCCAAGGCACTCCTCCCCTTCAGAGAACTGTTGTCTACAGACCAGCACTTGCCGCGCTCTGACCGGGAGCCGGAACTGGGGTGGGGATTGCTAGGGAGTGTTGCCCACCCCCAAAAGTGGCAGCCCAGCCACGACCCCATTGGCTGGAGGCATGTAACCTTGGCCCTCAAGCTCTGGCCCCGGGCCCAGGTCATGTTGCAACCTGACCGTCTGAGGCACCAGACCAATGTGGAAAGTTCAAATTCCCAGCCCCTCCACCCCCTGCCCCACCCCAATCACAGACCGCCGGAGCAGGGCATTTAAGGTCCTGGTACACTGAGAATGGGCACCCCTCCTCCCCAGGCTCCCTCAGGGTCTCCCCATTTCCCACTCACTCTCAATTTCAGCTTCTCACTTTATACTACACACCTCTACCTGGGTCGGCTAATGTGCAACCCCCACCCCAGACCATGGGTGTCCAAAAGGGGAGGTTCAGGGGAGGTGGCAAGGTAGGGGATAGAGCGGATTCCAAGAAATGCTCCCACTAAGAGGTGGGAGGTGGCGTTATCCCAGTCAGGGGCAGCTGGGATGGAGAGTGCTGTGCTTTCTCCCTGAACACCCAGAATATTCACTCCCTCTGGCCTGCTCCAGGGATAGAGGTGGCTTAGTACTAGAGGAGCCTTTGGGTCCTTCCATTTGACAGAGTAAAAACTGGGGCTCAGACTGGGACAGTGTTTTAGCCCTCTTTTAAAGAAAAAAAAAGATTTTATTTATTTATTTTCAGAGAAAGAGAGGGAGAGAAACATCACTGTGTGGGTGCCTCTCATGCATCCCAAGCTGGGGATCTGTCCAGCAACCCAGGCATGTGCCCTGACTGGGAATCGAACCAGCAACCCTTTGGTTTGCAGGCTGGCACTCAATCCACTGACTTGCACCAGCCACGGCTCTGTTTTAGCCCTTGAGGACCCTCATTATAGGGTTCCCTGGAGGGGAGAGGATTGTGGAAGCAATCTCTAGGGTGCCCCTAGAGAGCGAGTAGATGGGATAGGACAGTAAGGCAGAGGTCTAGAGGTACTGGGAGAAACTGGCCAGCTTGACACAGAGGACAGCTTGGGGATGCCTGGCCAGCTTTCACCATCAAAAGGGCAGTGTGGGCAGAGGAAGGACTTCTCTTCTGGGAGGAACCGCATGTTCCATGGTTCTGTGGGTGGAAGCCCCAGGGAGGCAGGTTCTAGAAGTTCCAAGAACACACTTACTCACGTCAGAGCTGGCCAGAGCTATAATCAGAGCTCTGGAAAGAATGGCCTCAGGGAAGTAGGGGAATAAGCTGGACCCTGTCAAGGAGACTTTAAGAGAATTGCTACAAGGTAGAGATGTGTGGGTAGGAGGAACTGGACTAGCAGTTCTGAGTTATCCCCCTCCCATCCCCAAGACTCAGATTTTCTACTGGTCAGGAGCAGTCCTTGAACCCTGGCCTCAGGCTTTTTGCTCCAGGTTGGGCCCCTCTCCTTCCCTCCCAGCCAACAGGTCCAGCACCTTTCCTCCTGGGCTTAGATGTTGTCACTGTTTCATCTCCCCTACCTGGCCACAAGCACTATAACCTCAGGAACAGGAAGGGCAGCAAGGGGCCCCTGGGCACTGGGTGATCAGAGTGGGTTGGAAGGTTGCTGGGATACAGGTGGGGCCGTTAAACTCAGGAGGCTACTTCCCTCCCCATCAAGTGCTACAAAAGAAACTGGCCCAGGAGAGGTGAGAGTGCCCCTCCCCCCCCCAACTTCTCCAGACAGATGGTGTTTATCTAACTTAAGAGAGAGGGGGCCAGCCAGCAGGCCTGTGTACTTAAGCTATGTACCCTATTTGGGTAATGAGGCCTGGTGTGCCTCGGAGCTTGGAGACCAAAGAGGAGAGGGGACCCAGTGACCCGTGCACTGGGGCTTCAGGAGTCAGACTGCCACCCACCCACCTCTTACCCCCAGGATGAGGGAGAGGCTCCAGGAGACAGTAGGTATACTGTTCTGCAAGACTAAGCCTTGAGGCCTCAGCCTTCTGTGTGAGTAAGGGTTGGAGAAGGTATGCCAGAGGGGACTGGTATACATGAAGAGGGAAGGACAAGCAGGGGTCTAAGACCCTGAACATCCTAACCTCCTAGGTCAGCTCCCTGGAGGTGGCAGACTTGGCCTGTGCCTAGCAGGACCCTGAAGGTCAAGCCCCTCAGCTGTGTAGAGCCCTTTCAGCTCATGGATTTGATTGACTGCTAGGGTCAGGGTCAGGGTGCTGGCTCCCTATTGCTCACCACTCCACCATCCTAGCCACCTTCCTTTGGACCCTAATAGTACTGTCTTGGGCACATACATTCCTGAGAAGGGGCACACCTTCCAGCTCAGTCTGGATTGCCAGCCCAGGATTCTGGGCTGGGCAGACACCAGAAGGGCAATGAAAATGTGGTGACTGACTGCTTGGAGCTCACCTCAGGGGAAGAGGCCTCCTCTCCACCCAGACAAACCTTGCCCATCCCCTGGACCTGAGGAGACCAGCAAGACTGGCAAAGAAAAAGCCCAAGTGAGTCTCTGCCATGTGGTCCTGGGCATGTCCCTTTGCCTTCCTCATCCTCAGTTTCCTTCAGTAAGAGCTGTATCTCAGAACCCACCCTAGTTGCCTGTGAGGCCGCTGGGTGTTACCGTAATGAGGACTAAGCTAATATATATCTCCCAGTCCCGGCCTTCGTTCTCATAGTAGATTAGCAAGCACATCTCACCAAAGAACACAAGGTCCCCTAGTGGGGACCCAGCAGGGTGCTTTAAAGGCTACACCTTCAGGAACAGGATTTCAGGCAGGTTAGAATGAGGAGCAAGATTTGAGAGAGTCCCTCAAATTGCCCACCATAGAGAGTGCCTAGTTCATGAGAAGGGTGTAGGGCCAGCCCCTGCAGAAGCCCCCTTCAATCTTCCCCTTTCTTTGCCACCCCCGCTGACCCAGGCCTCTCCCTCTGACAGTGGTAAACTGGTGTCTCCCAAGTGGAAGAATTTCAAAGGTCTCAAGCTGCTCTGCCGAGACAAGATCCGCCTCAACAATGCCATCTGGAGGGCCTGGTATATCCAGTGTGAGTGGGCACATGGGCGTGCCCAGTGGAAGGGCTGCAGTAGGGTGTGGGGTGGGGACATCGGGGAGGAGGGGTGGCTGCCCAGGAACCCCCAGCTAGCATCAACAGAGTGCTTTGGGGGAGGCCACCAGCACCAGCACCCTGGACGACTTCTGACCCCCAGAGAGTCTTGGGGAATGTGTCTCTAAGAGCGCTCTCATTCTTGGAAGTCCTACTGTGGGCAGAGATTTGATGGGCAGTTCAAGGCTCATTCTGCATCCCATTAGTGTTAGGTGTTAGACACGATCTGGGTCAATCCCGTCACTTTGCAAATGGGGAAACTAAGGACCCTGCATGGGTTTCTTCTAGCTATTCATTAAAGTACTTACTAAACCCCCACCAAATGCCCCCAGTGGAATTTTGTGGGAGCAAGCCCAGAGAGGCCATGTGGTAGAGTGGAAGGGACTCCAGACTTGGAGTACACAGAGCTGGTTTCCCACCCTGTTTCTGCCCTTGCTGGCTGTGTAATAGCAGGCAAGTTGTCTAACCTCTCTGAACCTATTTCCTCAACTGTAGATGAGGCCAATAGTCCCACTTTTCAGGACTGATGTGGAAATAATGGGTGTGAATAGGCCTGGCGCAAAGTGCTCAGTGAATGACGGTTGAATCTGAGGTACCCTTAAGAAGGTCATGGTCATTCATTTGGGGATACAAGACCTCCCCACCTTGCCCCCTGGCAAGGCAGCAGAGGCTGAGGGGCATCAGACTAGTTGGCCCTGTGTAGGGACCTCATCAAGCTCAGTTAGGTCCCGCCGTGCAAAGGCTACCGGAAACAGATGGTCCAGGGGGACGACACACCGTGTTCTCTGCACAGGCCTCACTAGATTGCATGTAGGCAGAGAGAGGGAGTGTTTTTGGTTCTATTCATCTATGTGTCTAGCACTTTCATAAATCATCTTATTTGAGGCTTCCTAGCAACCTTGGGAAATAAGTATTATTACCCTCATTTTATACATGAGCAAGTGAGGCCCAGAAGGCAAGTGACTTGCTCAGGGTCACGGAGCATAAAAGGAGCAGAGCTGTGGCTGGGAAGTCCTGGGCTGTCCAACTCTGGACCCAGCACTCCTTGCACTGAACCCTCCTGGCTGACTCCCAGTCCTCACCTGGGAACCGGCCTGCCTGCACGGGGAAGCTGGTGGGCTCGGGGAATCAGTATCATTGTCTGTCTCCTCCTCCCTACAAAGCTGGTCGGAGTGCAAACCCAGGGCGCTCATTCAGACAGACCTTGGTCTCCAGCTGTTGTACAAGCTGCTGGAAGGACCCCAGGTTCTGAGTTAGACAGAGGAGGATTTGAATCAAGTTCTAGGATGTCCTAGCTACGTGTACTTCCAGCCTTCCCTAGCCGAAGCTTGCTCTTTGGTACATTGGCCATAACAATAGGTCCCACTGCTGAGGTCTGCTGTGAGTTTTCATTGTGATCCCATTTCCGCACCAGGCGGACACACACAAGGGCTCGCTGAGGGTGAGCCCTGGGGTCTGTCACTGCTATTTCTGTAATAACAAGAGCATGGGCAGGCGGAGAACAAATGTTGGCTCCTCCTCCTCCCTGAGCACCCTAGGTTTGGAGGCGGGCTTCAGAAAACTCGGGGGGGGGGGGAGGAATAGGAGAGAGGTGTGGCCACTGCTGGAGGGCTGCCTGTCTCATCCCAAGCTCACCCTGCACCTGCCACTGTTCTGCAGGCTCCTGGCCTCCAGGACCCCTTCTTTTTTCCCCCAATCCGCTCAATTTCCTCTGAGTTGCCAAAGCACTGGGCCCCTTTCATGGGCAGGCTCTCCACCTGATATTAGCACTTATTCCTTCTTGACCCAGAGTCATCCGTGGATTCTGTCCCAGCATCTACTCCTGTATAAGTGCAAGGGGCTAGGTTGCTGCATGAATGGATGGATTTCTCACGGTTAAGTAAAGCCTGCCCTTTTGTGGAGAGCACAGTGCCCCTGGATGGGGGAGGGGCTAGTTGGCCAGACCTGCTCCTCTCTGACTCTCCCAGGCCCCTGGGCAAACTTACTCTTTCCCGGTGCTCATTTCCTCATCTGCAAAGCCAGGCAGATGCTCTTTGAGACCCTTAACCCTGCAGGAGTCCACGCACCTAAGGGCCTATTCTTTTGTTTTCTATCCGAGCTGGGCTCAGTAACCCTCCCCAGTCTCATAGGGATCATTTTGGAGAATGACGTTTAGGGCAGAACTTTGTAAATGATGTTGGAGTCCCAAGAAACTCCATGTTTGGGTAGTCCCGCTCCTCTGTGTCAGTTGTCCCAGAGGAAGTTTGCTGAGGGCTCAGCAGGATGGGCCACCACGGGCACCCCGAAGTCCTTTTGTCAAGACTGCCAGAAGAAGTCACTGCCCAGGGCTTTGAAGGCCTGCTCTGTGCCAGATGCAGGGATTCTGGTCAACAGGGCACAATTCCCGCTTTCACTCCCTGTGGGGAGGGCGGCATGCAGAAAAATAGTCAAGGAAGGTGGAGATAGAGGCAGACGTGACCAGGCGGGTTCAGACGAGGGAAGGCTTCTCTGGGCTCTCCCGGCACGTTGGCAGGTGAGCACGAGGCGGAAAAACAATAAGAGGGTGGGCTGTGTGGGGAAGCTGTTGGCTTGAAGATGGGATATATGGAGACAGAAGGGCAGAAGAAGCATGGGACTGGTTGTGGAGGGTGGAAAGCCAGGCTTGGGGATGTGGGCTTTATGGTGGAGGTTTAGGGAGCCCTGGAGGGATTCCGGCCTGAACTGTGCCGTAGGAAGAATTGACCTGGCTGCAGCAGGAAGGCGGGCTGGAAAGTGTGAGACAGGTCAGAGAGGTTAAGGTGAGAAATGACACCAGACTAGGAAATGACAGTGAGAATATGGAGGGGAGGGTACACTGGAAGCAAGGTCATACATCCTTGGGATTAAGATGGTTAGTCTGTGGATTAGACAGGAATCTGGGAATCTGGGAGTTTTAGTGACTAGGAGGCAGTGCTGGCTTCCCAGAGGAGACGCAGGCTGGGGAGGGAATTTCCCAAACACCGGAGAGTGGCAAGTTTTGGGACATCCTAGTGGAAGGTCCAGAGGCAACTGGGAAGTGGGTCTGAAGCTGGAAAGGGGCAGGATGAGAATGGGTCGGGGGTGGGCGTGGGGGCAGGTGCTGAGTGACAGGAGGGGAAGATGAGATTGGGAGGTGTAGAGGCAGAGGTGGCAAGTGACAACCCTTCTGGAGTTTGGAAGGAAAGCCAAGGGGAGAGCAAAAGGGTTAGATTGTTGGGTAGCCTAGGGAAGGGGAAGGTTTGGGAGGTAAAGGAGAACCTGGAGTGTGTATACAAGCACAAAGGAAAGAGCCTGGAGAGAGATCAGGGCTAGAGACAGGGAAGGGAGGGGCGGAGGTGAACAAGGGCTCAGGAAGGTGGCCTAAAGTGGGCAAGGCATGGCTCTCTGAGCTCAGAGTGAGCTGTGCCAAGAAGCCTGAGGCAGGGCACAAAGGGCTCCGGGCCGCAGGCCTGCCAGTCTAACCAGGATGTTCTAGGGACAGCTCACTCCCCGTGGTTCCCATCCCATTCGGCAAGCACTGCTTTCACACCTATTAGGCTGGGTTAGTTTCACAGAGTTGCGCAGAAGAGGAAGATTTGGTAGCACTAGAGAAGGTGGGAGGACTTCCTGGAGGAGGTGGCACTTCATCTGAGCATTGAAGGCCAGGCAGAATCCCGTAAGGTGACACAAGTTCCAGTCCCCTTGGGGTGAAAGAAGAGGGAGCTAGGCACCTCTGACCTGGTCCCCTTCTTTCAGATGTGGAGACAAGGAAGAGCCCCGTGTGTGGTTTCGTGACCCCCCTGCAGGGGCCTGAGGCTGATGAGCACCGGAAACCAGAGGTAGCTGAGACTCAGGGAACCACGGTCCACCTGCCTCCCCACCAGACCCGACCCCTCACTCCAGTTTCTCTCCGCACTGGGCCGGACCAGCCCAGACCGGGACTGAGTGAGGGGTGCAGCCAGTGCGACCTTTCAAACTGAGCCTCCTCCCCACCTTCTGCAGGCCGTCATCCTGGAGGGAAATTACTGGAAGAGGCGCATCGAGGTGGTGATGCGCGAGTACCACAAGTGGCGCATCTACTACAAGAAACGGGTCAGTTGGGGCCCCAGGGAACGCCCTAGACCTTTCCCCCTGCCGGTGCTTGGCCACTGCTTCTCTTCGAAGACCCCTAGAGGAGCTCCCCCAACCTCCGACCCCGCCCTCCTTTAAGACCCAGGCTGACTGCGCCACCGTGTGGCTATTCTTGCAATCTTCTTACTTCCCAGGGCGGAGGAGCTCCTTAAGGGAAGTGGGAGATCCTTGTTTTGGGGGAGCTTGTGAGACCTTGGCGGGGGTTGATAGAAGTGGGGCAAAGAATCCAGTGTTCACGTCTCTGTGTTTCTGCAGCTCCGTAAGTCCAGCAGGGAAGGGGATCTCCTGGCCCCAAAGCAGGTGGGTGCTCTCTAGAGCCAGAAAATCGACAGCTTCCCTCTGGGAGCAAAGCAGTGGTGAAAAAGGCTAGGGTGTGAGGGCGGGGAATGAGGGGAGTGGGCATGGCCCCCATCCTCTGGTTTATTAATTGAGCCCTTCTCCCCTTGGAGGAGTGGTGGGAAGATCCTAAGCCTTTTGGTTGACTGAGCAAGTGGTGGGGAGTCATGGAGGAATAAAGGCTCCTAAAATGTCGGGCCCCTGGCAGGAAAAAGTATAGAAGGCTGGAGGAGTACCTGTATTTATCTCCTCAGTAGCCCTCCCGGTGTACCTCTTTCGGGTAGTTGTTAAAGGCCAAAGGGGCGACCCTAGCCTTCCAGGCAGCAGACTGGGTCCGACAGGCCCTCTGGCAGATTGCCACCTCGCCAATTCATCCCCCGGCGGGGGGGGGGGGGCGGCGATATGGAAGGGCCAGGGCAGTGGGCCGCCCCTGCGCCCCCACTCTGAGGAGAAGCAGGAGCAGCGGCACCCTCGCGCTGCTACCGCCGCCTCTGTCTCCCTAGACTGATGGGGAGTGGCAGCCACCGGAGGGATGGCCTGAGCAGCTCTTCTCCAGCGTGGTGCCTGTGCTGCTGGGGGGCCCAGCAGAGGAGCCCGGTGGGCGGCAGCTGCTGGATCTCGGTTCCTTTTTGTCGGACATCTCCGACACGCTCTTCACCATGACCCAGCCCAGCTCCACACCCCTGCAGCTGCCGCCCGAGGACGGTGAGGCCTGTTCCTGGGAAAGGAGGCCTGTGAGAATCAGGCAGCGAAGGGAGGGTGGCCCAGGACAGGTGTGCCCATTCCAGCTTCCCGCTGCTCCTGACCTCACCGGTGCCCCTTCCAGCGTACATCGGCAATGCTGACATGATCCAGCCGGAACTGACACCTCTGCAGCCCAGCCTGGATGACTTCATGGAGATCTCAGGTGGGGCAGGCCCCGCCCCTGGGGTGGAAGGGCAGGGTCAGTGTGAGGAGAGCCCCATGTTGACCTCAGACCAGCTCCATGCCCCTCTGGAAGAGCAGATAGTCTGGGTGATGTCTGAGGGGTTTTCCTGATGTCCCATTTGTCTGGCCTTGGGATGAAGTTGGCATGGCCTCAGGTGGGAGCAGGGCCAGGCCCAGTACCTGCACAGGGGACAGGGAACCAGAGTCATCGAAGCGTTAGACTCTGGGAGCTCCCAGGAGAGTGGCAGACGCTGGCACTCTTTAAGGGGGCAGAGGAACTGTGATTTGTTTGGGTTTATTTACTTATATAATTCATTTAAAAACTTTATTAAATAACATTTCAAACATACAAATAGAGGGAGACAGTTCAATGAACCCTCATGTACTGTACCCATGGTGATGTACCCATCACCAATTTCGATATTCATCAACTCTTGGCCAGTCTTGTTTTATCTAGACATCACCCATTTCTCCTCTTCTATTTTTTTTAAAGATTTTTATTTATTTTATCTTTAGAGGGGAAGGGAAGGAGAGAGGGAGAGAAATATCAATGTATGGTTGCCTCTCAAGTGTTCCTTGCTGGGAACTGGCCTGCATCCCAGGCATGTGCCCTTACTGGGAATCAAACTGCGATCCTTTGGTTCGTAGGCCTGTGCTCAATCCACTGAGCTACACCAGCCAGGACCTATTTTATTTTTAAGAAAATCCCAGGAATTATATCTAGTAAAGCATTTTTAGTATGTTTCCCTGCCTCTCTTTCCTGACCCCAGGGCCACCAGGTCACAGGAGTAAATCCTTCCAGAGATGCTCATGTCTGTGTAAAATGAGCACACGTGGATAAATGTCTTTTTTTCTATAGTAGACATGCCCACATTGCTTTCTTCACATAGCTTAGATCTTGAAGACTGCTCCTGATATTCATACACTTAGGGGACTTCATGGCCATTATAAGGATCAGGCAGACATCGGGGCTCAGCCAAGGCCGAGGGGCAAGGGGTTCCTGGGATAAAGGCTTAGTTTCCGTGACCCATTCACTCCTTCCCCACAGGGTCCTGGGCCTGTCAGTCAAGAGGTGGAGGCCTATGGGGCGGGGACTAGGGAATGAGGAACCACCCCCATCCCTGCCTCAGCCCTGGACAGGGGTGGGGGCTGAGGGGGCAGAAGTGTTGATGGCAGTGCCCTGGGAGCAGACCAGCCTGGGAGGGCTGAGGCCCTGCCTGGGCACGCAGACCCCCGCCACAGGTAGGAGCTGAACCACCCCCACTCCAGGATCTGGGCGAAACCTGGGGCTAGGAAGTGACTTCCCTCAGCCCAGCCCTGCTGGGGTGGGGGTCGAGTGTGGGCAACCTGTTGTAGGGGGTGGCATGCAGAAGAGATGGCTAGTGTGGCCCCTGCGGTGCTCCATGCACTTGGAGGGCAAGGAACATTAGGGCTACCTGGGCTGCCTCTTTGATTATCCCCACGATAATCCTCCTCACTTGAAAGGAAACCCAGTGAGGTGGCTGGAGAGGGCAGGGCTCAGTGAGGGGTAAGGGGCTTGGTGAGGGTGCTCAGAGGAGGGGAGGCGGCTCGGGTAAGAGAAGTGTGCTGGGAGAGGATGGCAGGTCTGTGGAGGGAACAGAGACTGGGGAGAGACTCGGTGGGTGGCTACAGCTAGGAAGCAGTGTCTTTCAAGGCCGGGTGAAGACACATCCATAGTCTCAGATACAGGGATGGTGGTGACTCAGTGATGAGATGGACCGGCTGCTCCACCTGCCAAGCCCTGGGGAGACAGCAACAGCAGTGAGTAGGGAGCTGCTCTGTGGCCCTCAGCATCCTGGGACCAGACCCAGGACGAAGCTGGTTCCAGAGCCTAGGCTTCAAGGGGCCTCATGAGGAGACCCATGGTCCCTGGGGGCTGGAGAATGAAGGATCAGTAACTGCGCACCCTCTGCCACCCAGTCCCTTCGTTAAAAGGAAGCGGCAGGACAGCAAGAAGATCCCTTATGACTGTGGCTGAGAAAACACATGCATACGCAAAGATGTGGGCACAGGGCAGGTATGCATGTGCCCAGCAGCTCACATCAGGGCAGGTGCACACAGACCTAGAGCTACAGACAGTGGGACGGACAGGGAGACAGACAGGTGCTGCTAGAGACCACACACTGACAGGTGTAGTTGGCTGCCCAGTGACATGTGGGCCCCAGAGTCACATAAGATGTACACGTAGGTATGACCCCTGTCAGGCTCAAGGTTTGGTGTGGTATTTTCTGTCCCACTCCTGGGTCTCCTTCGAAGGGGCCCTCCACAGAGAGGCCTTACCAGCTCTGTTGGCTGGGGGTCTGGGGCCCATCAAGGCTCACGGGGTTGGGTCTGACCAGACTAGGAGGCCTTGGGAGCCGGTACAGACTGAAGGCTGGTCAGGGTCAGAGAAAGGTGCCCGGAAGGGAGCGGGCAGGCGGGCGGCACCCAGGCCCGGGATGTGGTCAGGCCACAGCAGCTGCTTCCCAAAACCAGAATAGCCCGGGGTTTACACAATCTGCACCTCAAACAATCTGGCTGCCTCCTCCCCACCAACTCTTCCCAGCTTTCCAGAACCCCCTCACTCCAGCCCCACTCTGAGACCATCCTCTGACCCCTGCTATCATCCCCTTAGCTCCTTCACCCCACTCCTGGATTCGACCACTGAGGCCCTGCTTGTTGGCCTTCCAGCAAACCAACTTGTCCCGCAGATGCACCGACTGCCTGACCCCTCTCACCCCTAACTCACCTCTTGAACTCTTGTCGCCCTGGGGCTCCTCCTGTGGACCTCACCCCTTTCCCTTCCTGGCATACCCTATTACCCTCCCCTAATCCTAGGTCCCCAGCAGGGCTGGTGACAACAGTATACAAGGGGAGGGTCCAGGCCTGGGGATGGGAATGGGGGACCTTGTGAGCCAAATGTGGGGCTCAGCGGGAGGCTGACTTCTGGAGTCCTACTCATATCCCTGCACAGTCCCCTGCTGTCTCTCACCCGGGCCCGTCCCACCCGAGCTCATGTTGCTGCTTCCCCTGAGTGAGACAGAAACTCTCCCAGTTTCACAATCTCCTGTGGAAGCCCCCCCTCCCCAGCCCAGCCTGGGGACAGGGCACGAGGCCCGATCTCCTCCCACAGCCTCCGGCCATGGCCTTCGCCCTAACTGCTGCCACTCTGTGTCTGAGTTACAGATTTCTTCACCAGCTACCGTCCCCCACAGACAGCCACGCCTGCGAACTTCCTGGAGCCCCCCAGCTTCAGTCCCATGGCTGACTCCCTTTTCAGCAGTGGGATTCCGGGCTCAGAGGTGCCCCCTGCCTCCTTGGGCGTGACTCACCTCTCAGAGCATCACCACTTGCAGGTGAGCTCCTTGCACTCCACCCAGCTCACCTGTCCATGTCCAGGAGGTATTCTGGGTACTTTCTGGGTGCCCAGTCCTGTGTTTGTTTGGTCCACCCAGTGAGGCTGGAGGGGCAGAAAGACCCCTGAAGGGTGAGAATCATCTGGGGAGGAAAGACCCTCATGAAACAGAACTGACAAGACGGCTATGGGGTAGTTAGGCTGAGGGCAGGAAGAGTGTAGAGCAGCACTACCAAGGGCCGGGTTGCTTGTGGAATGCTTCCTGGAGAAGGGGGAGTTCTGGGCTTTAGAGCACATGTCGGGTCTGGACAGAAGAGATCAGTAGAGAGCCAGTCAGATGAGAGAAGCTCAGACGAGTGCACGGAGGCAGCAAACTGAGAGTGTGTGTTTAGAAAACACCAAGTCTACCATTTTGGCTCAAGAACTCCCAGACCCAGTTTGGACGTTATCTCCCTGCTGCTGGGTTAGGTGCCTTTCCCTCCATCAGCAGAGTTTTCAGGCACTATTGCAGTTATTGTTGAGGGGTCTCTGTGCTAGACTAGAAAGTGAGCTCTTTGCTGGAAGGGCTATGTTTTGCTCACCACTTCGTCCTGCATACTTAGCACTGTTCAAACACACCAACAGCACTGGGTAAATGCCCAATAACTGAGCAAGTGAGTGAATGAATGAGTGGATGGATGGATGGGTGTGTTGGTGGATGGACAGATGAGTTGTAGATGGGGCTAGATGCTTAAATGAGTTGGTGTATATACAGGTGGGTGAGTGCTTGGTTGGATGGATGAATGGGCTGATGAATGAATTTGTAGATGAATGAGTAGTTTGGTGGATCAACGAATGGGCTAGTAGGTGGATAAGCAGCTGGTTAATGTATGGTGGATGAATGAAGGAAGTACAGATATAATTAGATGGGTTGGTGAATGGGTTAGTACCTGGTGGACTGGTGGAAAGATAGATGAGCTAGCTCATAGGTGAGAGAGTAAACAGATAGGTGGATGGATGGATGGATGAATTACTTGGTGAATAAGAGTGTGCAGGAAGATTAATACTCTTTCTCGTGTCTAATTTGTGCATAAATGTGTTCCACTGCTTCCCCTTGTTAGATTATAATTTCCCTGGTGTGTGTGCTGACAGGCAGGGATCATTTCTCTTATTTCTCCCGGTGCCCAGTCCAGAGCTCAGCCAGGGCAGGGGGCTGCCTGGGTGGCGACAAAGGCTAATTTTCTCCCCTGCTCTCGGTTCCCTCAGGCTCGGAGCAGCTGCCCTGGCTCCCTGGACTCCAGTGCCTTCCTGAGCTCTGATTTCCTCCTTTCTGAAGACCCCAAGCCTAAATTCCCGCCCCCTCCCCCACCCCTCCCCTTCCCCCAGTACCCTGCCCCCCCTAAAGGGCCTGGCCTTGAGCCCTGTCCGCTCCCCCTCTTCCCTTCCATGGCTCTGCCCCCTGCTGTGCTGCAAGAAGAAACTCTCTTCCCTCCCAGATCCTCCTTCCCTACTGTCCCCCCTGCATCAGGAGTGTCCCCACTGCCTGCTCCCACAACCTTCCCTTCCACCCGACAGCCTGGCCCAGGCCCTGCCCCCGCCGCCTTCCCCATGGACCTTCTACCCTCCGGGTATCCAGAGTCCCCATTTGGGCCTCACTTCACAATACCCCAAGATGTGCAGCCCCAAGGCAAGCCCCCCACCCCACCTCCCAGGGCGCGGAAGCCCAGCCCTCCCACCTTGGCCCCTGGCACTGCTGGGGGCAACAGTTCCTGCCTCACACAGCTGCTCACAGCAGGTGAGATAGGAGGGGCCCGGCTGACAGAGGGAGAGCTGGGAAGCAAATGGGGAAGTGGGAAGCCTGTGGGAGCAGAGGGTGAAGGTTGAGGGGCAGGCTCAGCTGGGGGTGGGGACAGGGTGGTGAGGAATTCTTAAATTCCTCACCACCACGGGTCCTGAACCCGGAACGGGGTGTGGGCTACTAGGAGTGGAGAGATGGGATCTTGGGAGATGACCCCAGAGGCCCTCACAGTCTGCCTGTGCACAGCCAAGCCTGAGCAAGCCCTGAAGCCACCTCCTGTGTCCAGTGCCCTCCTGCGGCCCCCAGAGTCCCCGGTAAGATAGCGTGCAATGGGAGTGGGGGGTAGCCTCAGAGCTTCACCCCAACTCTCCACCCTTCTCCACCCCAGCAGGAGACGGTCCCTGAATTCCCCTGCACCTTCTTTCCCCCGACTCCGGCCCCCACACCACCCCGGCCACCTCTGGGCCAAGCCACACTGGCCCCTCCCAGGCCCCTGCTTGTCCCCAAAGTAGAGCGGCTGTCACCCCCAGCACCCATCGGTAAAGAGGGGTTGCAGGGATTGGAGGACGCTAGAGGTTGGAGGGAGGGGAAAGAAGAGGGGGGTTGATGTCTGGGGCCAGGATGAGAGGGACAGGTCAATGGGACCCTCTCCCCTATGTTGGTCTGTCTGTGGGTCTGTCTGTCTGCCACAGGTGGCGAGCGGCGAGTGTCTGGGGAGCTTGACCTGGCCCCGGGCCCAGGGACTCCGAGGGTCCGAGTCTCTACTCCTCAATCCATCCTGAGCAGGGGTCGTCCAGAAAACAAGGTGGCACTATCCCAGCACCCTGATATCTTTTTGCTACCCCTAAGCGCTCCCACACTCCTTCCTAGGCTCACCCCACTTTCTGCACCCCCAAGACTGAGAACCGGCGCATCACACACATCTCTGCAGAGCAGAAGCGGCGCTTCAATATCAAGTTGGGGTTTGACACCCTGCATGGGCTGGTGAGCACGCTCAGCACCCAGCCCAGCCTCAAGGTGAGCCCCCCAACCCAGGCTGGCACCCCCAGAGCCACAGGGCCCTTCATGGACCGTCCACCTAAGACTAAATCCCAGGGCCGTCTAGATGCCCAGTTGCCTCTTCCCGCCCCCAAGTGTCTCAGTGGGTCCCAGCACCTGAGCCCACACTGGCAATGCCCACAGGTCAGCAAAGCCACGACCCTGCAGAAGACAGCGGAGTACATCACCATGCTGCAGCAGGAGCGGGCGGCCTTGCAGGAGGAGGCCCAGCAGCTACGGGACCAGATTGAGGAACTCAACGCTGCCATTAAGTAGGCAGGGACCTGCAGGTGCTGGGGCAAGGGGGGGCCTACTGCCTGACTCAACACCTGACCCTCCCCATGTCCCCAGTCTGTGCCAGCAGCAGCTGCCAGCTACGGGGGTACCCATCACACACCAGCGCTTCGACCAGATGCGAGACATGTTTGATGATTATGTCCGGACCCGAACGCTGCAAAACTGGAAGTTCTGGGTAGTATCCTCACTTGGCCAGCGGCAGGGTGAGTGCTGCAGCCAGACCGGCTTGTGCCTGGCTGCAGGCTCAGCTTCACAGGCCAGGCAGGGTTTCAGAGCTGCTCCAGTTCTACCTGCTCCTTCCAGGCCTTAGAATCTTGGCCAGCAGTGTTGCCAGTGATGGGCTGGACACAGAGGGAAACTGAGGAAGGGGCCTCTGGGTAGGGGGACTGTAACCTCGCCTACAGAAAGCCCCAGGGGCAGTTTGGGACCTAAACTCTGAGCGGCACAGTGGGCTGGGCCTTGGGGAAGACATGGAATCACTAACCCCCTCACCTGGTCAGGCTCTCAACTGAGCCAGGGCAGGAAGCCCAAGGATAGGGGATGGCCCAGCTCAGAAGGGCCATGGAGGAGCTGGGGGAGGGGGCTGAGCGCCGCAGGATGGGAGGGAGGGTGGCTGCAGTGGGGGGTCCTTGAGGTTCAAGGCTTCACAGTAGCCAGGCCTTTTCCCTGGTTGGGCCAGATGCCAGGGCTACACGTGAAGTGGGTGAGGATACTGGCTGGAAAACAGACCTGCTCCTTGACCCGGGCCAGTTCAGCATCCTCATCCGGCCTCTGTTTGAGTCCTTCAATGGAATGGTGTCCACAGCAAGCTTGCAGAGCCTTCGTCAGACCTCACTGGCCTGGCTGGATCAACACTGCTCCCTGCCTGCTCTCCGGCCAAGTACGTGAGCCAGCTGCCTGCCCAGTGGGATGTCTAGGCCTCAGGGCAGAGGGGTGCACTCTGCTCAGACTCCAGGTTCAGCCTGCCTTCAAAATAGCCTAGAGTTTAGCCATCCCACCATGCTCCAGGACACCTACAGACAGCCATGCAAACTAGCATCTCCCCCTACCTCTTTGTCTTTAGCATTCAAGGGCCGGGCCCTAACCCCAAGAGGTGTCTCTCTCTCTCTCTCTTTTCTTAGCTGTCCTGAACTCCCTCCGCCAGCTGAGCACATCTACCAGCATCCTGACGGACCCAGGCTGTATAGCCGAGCAGGCCACACGGGCAGTTACAGAGGGCACCCCTGGCAAACCGCTGTAGTACTGACCAGACCCTGCCATTCACTCAATTGCCTTGGGGCTACTTTCCTTCTTCTTGCCCCAGGCCCTGGCTGTCCTGTTTCCTGAGAGTGAAGCAGGACCCTAGCCTCTTTCTTACCTCCTGGAAGCCAGGAAGAACTGAGTTCCAGTCTCTGCTCTGCCAGTAACTCACACTGTGACCTAGGAGACTCCTGTTCCCTCTCTGTACCTCCATTGTCCAGTCTGCAAAAAGGGGATAGGGAAGCTTCAGCCAGAAGATGACCCCAAGGCCTCAGCAGCTGTGACACTTGGGGCCTAAACTGGCAACTCAGGGAGCTTGAAGGAGGAGGAAACGGGACAATCCTGTTTCCCTGTCATCCTGCCTGCTCCCCAACAGGGAGGGCGAAGGCCTCTGTCTCTGATCAGAGAAACAAAAAAGGAGGTTCCCTCTCTCTGTTCCTCTGGTAACCTGGGGCGCTGCAGGCCTGGGTGGAGGAGGCTGAGTTCTGATCCCAGGAGGGCGCACAACAGGGGAGGTGGCCAAACCAAAGCAGGCATCGTGTGTGTGTGTGTGTGTGTGTGTGTGTGTGTGTGTGTGTGTGTGTGTGTGTGAGTGAATGCATGTGTGCGGGTTTTGTAAAGAATTCTTGACCAATAAAAATTTAAAATGTTGGGGACTGTCGGTGTACCTTACTCTGGGGTGGAGAGTTGCTTGGCAGTGGGCGGTGGCCTTGAAAGGACCTTAGCTTTTCCTCTGAGCTGGGAAGCCACTGGAGGGTTTTGACTAGAGGTGGGACAAGATCAGATGTTCACTTGTGAACAGGATCCCTCTGGGTGCTGAGTTAAGAATAGGCTGTTGTGGGGCAATGGTGGGAGCAGGGCAGCCAGATTTAGACTGTTGCTGTCATCCAGGAGAGCAATGACACACGTCCCAGAAATCCTCCCTCCCTGGCCAGCAGAGGGTTCAGAGAGGCTCGCCACTTTCCAAGTTGGAAGAGGGCAGAGCTAGTGAACCAAGGAGCAAAAGTGACAGGGCCACTCCTCGGAACCACCCACGGGAATGTGCTGCTGCAGAGGGTGGTGACGTCCCCACTGTGCAAAACACCCAAGCAGAGTGGATGGCCGCTTGGTTGGGTTGATCCTTTCGTTAATCCATTTAGCAAAGACTCCCTGAGTGCCGACTGTGAACCAGGTGATGGTCTTGGTTCTTGGGATTCTGTTCACAGCTGCACCCCTCTCCTCCCAGAGCTGACTGTTCAGGCCTGGCAAGTCCGAGTCCTCTCACATCTCAGAACTTCTGGAAGCATTTGCAGGACATAAACACAGTCTTCTGTGACCTTTGCTCTTTCCTCAATCATGTAGGATAATAACAATAACTGCACATCAATCCAGTGTTTACTATGTGCCAAGCACTATTCTAAGTGCTTTATGTATATTAAGTTGCTTAATCCCTACAATACCTATCTTTAAAGGCCTGTCATGAGGATTTCAAAGTAAATATAAGCCCTGGCCCAGTAGCTCAGCTAGAGCATTGTCCCAATATGTCAAGGTGGAGGGTTTGATCCCCTGTCAGGGCACACACCAGAATCAACCAGTGAATGCACAAGTAACGGAACAACAAATCTCTCTCTCTCTCATTCTCTCTCCCCTTCCTTCCCTCTGTCTCCCTCTCTCCCTTCCTCTAAATTAATTTAAAAAATTTAAAAAGCCCTGGCTGGTGTGGCTCAGTGGATTGAGCACTGGCCTGTGAAGCACAGGGTTGCTGGTTTGATTCCCAGTCAGGGCACAAGCCTGGGTTGCGGGCCAGGTCCCCACAACCACACATTCATGTTTCTCTCCTTCTCTTTCTCCCTCCCTTCCCCTCTGTCTAAAAATAAATAAATAAAATCTCTTTAAAAAGTTTTTTTAAGAGTACATATAGGGTCTGGCACAAGTAACACCCCCCTTTTATTACAAAATCATAAGTGTGTAATTCTGTAACATAACAATATCACACTCAAGCACACCAGATGACATTTTAGGTGAAATGTTGAAATTAAAACTATAAATTATTACACCCGTATTATTACCCTATCAACCACACTTAAGCAGGCCTGCCTTCTGCTGGAAATATATATATCTATATATATCTATATATATATCGATATATCTATCTATCTATCTATCTATCTATCTATCTATCTATATATAGAACAACAGTGCCAGGCAAAGAACACTACATGTGTCAGGGTTATCATTATCATCCCCATTTTACAGATGAAAAATTGAGGCACAGAGAGGTTAACTAGCCTCAGGTTGTATGCTTAACAAGGTGCCCACCCAGACTGTCTGACTCTAGTCTCTGCTCTAGCCACTTCTTTTACTGTGCAGTGACAGGTGCACCCAGCCTGTAAGTGCTGTTTGCTGCTGCAGACCACAGCTTGAAGTAGCTCTTTGCAAGGTGAAATCCTGGCAGTCTGCACTGTGTTGTTTTCACCCACTCATAACCCACCAGGAAGGTCTCCCTAAGGCACCCCCTTGATTCTGTTCCCTGCTAGATGCCACCCTCCTTTGAGAGAGTTGTCTTGCTCTCCCTTCTCCCCTCCCACTTACCCCCAGCTGCCTGCCTTTGGGCTCCTCCTCCCACCTTCCCCCCCAGCCTCACCCCTGCACTGGGTCCTTCACCCAGGCCCCTTGACTCCCTCATGGCCAAACCCAATGACCACTCTGCATGCTCTTCTTGTCTTTCCCTAGACCCTCAGACCATCTTCCTGAACCACTCTTTCGAATCCAAAATTTTTGCCAGCCTCTCCTTTCTCTTGCCTGACAGTGTCTTCCTGCTGTGGGAGCCACCTCCTCCACCCACCCCTTTCCCTGGCCCTCTTCCCTCTCACTCTGAAAAGTTCCAGGCAATGCCATACCCTCTGCCTCTCTCCTGAGGACCCTCCACCCTGTATCTGTCTTGCTGTCCCCCCAGAGCTACATAACCACATATTTGACTGCTGCCCTGACCCCTCCCTCTGACAGTTCTACAGCTCCCTTAACCTTGAAGGAGTCAAAACAGAGCTCATCATTCCTGAGACTGTGCCTCATGGTCTTCCCCATCAAATCTGGTCCTCTTCACGTGCTCTACATGCCCAGGAAAGGTGCCACCATTCAGACGCTTGTGCAAGCTGCTTCCATCCTTGGCTCCTTCTCCCCACACGCCACTACTTTACGGTATCTCTTACCAAGGCCTGGCCAGCTGACGTTGTAAGCATCCGTCTCCACGGCCACCACCCTGATCCAACAGAACATTGCCTTTTGCACGAACCTACTTCCTGTGTCTCTTACAGCTGCTTTTCAAACATAAATGTGCATTTAAATAATTGGGGGAGGAGGACTTTTACAAATTTTCATGACCAAGTCCAATGTGAACTAAATTAAATCAGAATCTCTGGTTGTGGGACTTAAGACATCAGTACCTTTTAAGGTGATTCCAATACACAGCCAAGGTAAGAACCACTGTAACAGAGGCTTTGAGCTGCAAATTATATATGTCTGGGATGCAAGTTAGTTTACTCTGGTTCTTAAACTTTAATGTGCATCAGAAATCATTCAGCAACCTTATTAAAATGCAGATTGCCAGGCTCCGGACCTCCAGAGTTTCTGAATCAGCAAGTCTGGGACAGAGTGTAAGATTTTGCATTTCTAATAATGTTGTGTCTGGAACCCCAACTTTAAAAACTACTGCTTAAACCATGATGAAATTTATCATTTCACCTAATACAGGCCAGAGGCAGGGAAGGCTCCAATTACTTCTTTGGCTCCTACGCCCCTCCGATGAGTCCAGGTTTCTGAACAGATGTTCCAGGTGCTTTGTGACTGGGCCCTGCTGCCCCTGCAGCCTCGTTTCTTTCCACAGCATCCCTCCCTTCAATTCCAAGGGGTCTTGAAACTCCAGTGGTTCCTGGGATGCATCCCTCTGCTTTGCCCTTAAAAGACCTGATCAGCCCAGGAGGGAGGAGGCAGGCCTAAACTTTTTAAAATAATTTTTTAATTTTTCAATTTGAGTTGACATACAATATTACATTAGTTTCAGGTGTGTAATCCAATGATTAGACCATTATATAACTTACTAAGTAATCACCCCAATAAATCTAGTACCAGGCTGACACCATAGTTATTAAAATATTATTGACTATATTCCCTATGTTGTACTGGACTATTCTTTTTTTTAATATTTTATTTATTTATTAGAGAGAGGGGAAGGGAAGGAGAAAGAGTGGAAGAGAAACATCAATGTGTGGTTGCCTCTCATGTGTCCCCCACTGGGACCTGGCCTGCAACCCAGGTATGTGCCCTGACTGGGAATCGAACTGACAACCTTTTGCTTCACAGGCCCATGCGCAATGCACTGGGCTACACCAGCCAGGGCCATACTTGACTGTTCTGTAACTAGTCAATTTGTACTTCTTAATTGATTCACCTTTTCACCAATCCCCCAATCCTCCTCCCATCTTCTAAAAACTAGTCCCCCAACCCCCTCTCCCTCAGGCAACCACCAGTTTGCTCCACCTCTGAGTCTGTTTCAACTTCATTTGTTTGTTTTGTTTTTATAGATCCCACACATCACTGAAATCACATGGCACTTGTCTTTTGCTGACTGACTTTTTTCACTGAGCATAATACCCTCTAGGGCCTTCCATGCTGTCACAAATGGTAGAAATTTGCTCTTTTTTTTATGGCTGAGTAATATTTTATTGTATGTATATACCGCAGATTTTTTTTATCCACTTGCCTATTGATAGGCACTTGGGTTGCTTCCATAGCTTGGCTATTGTAAATGATGCTACCATGAACATAGAGGTGTATATATTCTTTAGATTTACTATTGTGGGTTTCTTCAGGTAAAGCCCCGGAAGTGGCATCAGTGGGTCATAAGGAGGCCTAGACTTTGCTGTGTCCCTGTATGCGCCCCTTCCTCCCAAACCCTTTCCTCTGACCCCGTCTGCAGCACTCACTCAGAGAGGCCACCACAGTCACTCCCTTCTGTACAGGAACCAGTTACTTCTTCCTCTGCACCAGGGGTGTCCAACATTTTGGGTCTCTGGGACACACTGGAAGAAGTGTTGTCTTGAGCCACACATTAAATACACAAACACTAATGAAAACTGATGAGAAAAAAAAAGGTCTGTGCATAACTTTTGTGATATCCATCATCACAGATAAGCAAAAAAGTCCTTACATAATAATCCTAATTATGCAACAGCCCTTTCTATACTCTTAAAATTATTGAGCAAGTTCTACATTTGTGATCACTAATGTAGAAAATGTATATGTATCTAAGTTATAAAACTTAGTATGAAACTTAGTAGTAAAACTAAGTAATGTTTTAAGTAAATTTATGATTTTGTGTTAGGCCACACTCATAGCCATCCTGGGCCACATGTAGCCCACAGGTTGCAGGTTGGACGCCCCTGCTCTACACCTTTGCTCACACCTTGTTTCCCACCTAGAATCCCTCCTGGACTATGCTTCACCTGTCTAAACATCCAGCTCTATAGGTACTGCCAGGCCTTGCTACCCCTCAAAAGCCACTGGCTGATCTCCTTCCCTGATCTGTGCAGCTTTGCCAAATCCTGCTTTGTGTTATTACTTACACTTCTGAATGTTGGCCTTGGCTTCTAACTGGGCTTGAGGATAGAACAAGGCCTTCCTTACCATAGCCCAGTGGTGTGGTGGGAGGAGTATGGATTAGGAGTGTTGCAGACACAAGTTTGACTCTGGGCTCTATCCCTCATTTCCTAGTTGAACTTGGGTAAGTTGCTTGACCTCAGCCTAGTTTTTTTCACCTGTTTAACATCATTTCATACCATCTGAAAGGTCTATAAAGATCAACTGAACTCATGATGTGAAAGAATCTTGTATCCCTGACAGAGCTGTACAGAGATAACCCCTACTCTTGCTTCTCTCTGTCCTCCACATCAGTCTATGATTGAAGTCATAGACCGGCATGTGTACCCAGGTTCACTCGTTACCTGTGTGCCCTCCGAGAAGTCACTTAATGAGCACCTCCAGAGCATCGGTCTTCTAATCTGTGGGTTGAGAATGTGAGAAGATTAAGTGAAATGCAAAGCTCTTGGATCAAGAAATACCATGCCGCCCTGGCTGGTACGGCACAGTGGATTGAGTGCTGGCTTGCAAACCAAAAGATTGCTGGTTCGAGTCCCAGTCAGGGCACATGCTAGGCCAGATCTGGAGTTTGGAGCATAAGAGGAAACCAGCCCTGGCTGGTGTGGCTTGGTGGATTGAGCGCAGGCCTGAGAACCAAAGGATTGTGGTTCGATTCCCAGTCAGGGCACATGCCTGGGTTGCAGGCCAGTTCCCAGCAGGGGATGCATGAAGGGCAATCATACATTGATATTCCTCTCCCTAAAAAAAAAGAAAAAGAGGAAACCAGTTGATGTACCTCCCCTGCATGCATTGATGTTTCTCTCCCTCTCTTTCTCCCTCCCTTCCCCTCTCTAAAAAAAAAGTCACATGCAAAATGCTTAATAAATTAAATTCTTAAAAGTACAGCTTTGTCTCTACGTGGTAGAGAAAGTGGTTCTTGGCTAGGCCTACAATTCGAAAAAGCAAATTAAGAACAGTTGGTTAGAGCATCATTCTGATACACAGTTGTGGGTTTGATCCCCAGTCAGGGTAAATACAGGAAACAATGACTGCATAAATAAGTGGAACAACAAATTGATTAAATTGACCTTTCTCTCTCTCCCTCTTCCTCTCTCTCTCTCTAAAATCACTACTAAATAAAAAAAAATTTTTTTTAAACAAATCAAGGTCAGTTGGTTAGAGCATTGTCCTGATACACCAAGGTTGTGGGTTTGGCCCCCAGTCAGGGTACATACAAGAAACAACCAATGAATACATAAATAAGTGGAACAACAAATCGACATTTCTCTGTCTTTCTCTCTCCCCCTTTTTCTCTCTCTAAAATCAATAAACAGAAAATAAGTTTTTTAAAAAAGCAAATTAAAGTGGAAAAGCTCCAGGATGCTCTGAACACTCCCTCCAGCCCTTCCTACCCCAGTGCCCACAGCTCTGTCGACCCACACATGGGACAAAAGGGAAGGAAATGAGGCAGCTCCATTTGCTCTCTGACTAGATCTGCTTCCTCACCAAGGCTGTGGGTGTGGGTGTGTCTGTCTGTCATCTAGTCTCTGCAGCAGTCTCTCACCTCAGACGGCCTTTCTAAAGACTAGAGGGTCTGCATTGTCAGGAGAGGCTCCCTGGTAGGCGTGAAAATATTTGAATCATGAATCTCTGACCCTGGTACTTCCACTTGCTGTGGGTTTCAGGGCTGGGAGGCCCACAGAGCATGCCTGTTCTGGAACTATTCCTTCTCCAGCCAAACAGGTCTCATTCAAATTCATTAGCCTTTCAGAATATCATCTTTTTTGCTGAAATCTGAATAAGCTGTATAGACTGTGTCAATGCCAATTTCCTGGTTTTGCTATTACAATATATTTATGCAAGATGTTACTATTGGAGGAAACTGGGTGAAAGCTATAGGGAAACTTCCCATTCATTTTCAACTCCCTGTTAACTTTTAATTATTTCAAAATAAGAAATGTGTTGTTTAAAAAATCGTCTTTTCAACGTCCTCTCCACTCCCTTGGCCACCCTTAAGTCCAGGCCCTTATCAACCCCCTCTTGGATCCTAGCAAACACCTCCCGGTTTTCTAGAGAAAAGGGGGAAAGAATCATAGATGTGTGGTTGCCTCGCACGTGCCCTGACCGAGAATGGAACCTGCGACTGTGGTTCGTGGGCCGGCACTCAATCCACTGAGACACAGCAGCGTCCATCCTTCTTCGCTGAGGCTGTTCCACGCTCTAACTGCAAGACTACCTTTTCTCTTCTCCATTAATAGCAGCCGCCCCTCTGAATTCCCTGGTACTCAGAAAACTTTCCCCTAAAGGCCAGGCCCCGCCCCTTGGGACCCTCAAACGGGCAGGACCCGCCCATCCAAAGGCTGTAACGGTTAGGCCCCGCCCCACTTGCGTCCGTGCGTCTCCCCGCCAAGACGTGCAGGCGCCTGCGTAGCCTGAGGCTGAGGTGGCAGCAGCCAAGCCAACATGGAACTACCACAGATGCCGGAGCTCATGGGTCTGTCGCTGTTGCTCGGGCTGCTGGCCCTGATGGCGACGGCGGCAGTAGCGCGGGGGTGGCTACGCGCAGAGGAGGAGATAAGCAGCCGGTCGGCCGGTTAGTGGGGCCATGGCGAGCAGGGGTAACCCGCGGGGACCTCGCCTCCGACCCTCAGTCTGGGCCCTCGGGGGTGCCGGGTCCCTCTGGGCCTCAGTTTCTTCTCGTGTGGAATGAGCTTCGCTTTCCGACGAGAGGTGCTGCCAGGGCGGCTTGTGGCGCCCCTCAGGAAGACTCTTTAGAACCTGGGTCCCACTCTGCGGCTTCCTCCGTGCCACTTTGCCTTTTGAGTCTCAGCTTTTCTCCGGGGTTGCTGCGAGGTGGCTCCTAAACTCCCCAGCGCGCTATTTGTTCGTTATTTTATGAAAATGGACGGGGAGGTGAGGGAATGACGGACCGACATTCACTTGTGAGCACTCTGACTGTCTCCTTGATTAATATTGTGTATCTACTATCTTTATAGGGGTCTTTTCTTTTGAGGAGTCCACTTCGGGGTAATACAGAAGCACGTCTAAAAGTATTAGCGAAAAAATACCGTGTAATATGTTTTCTAGAAGGGGTCAGTCCTAGAAACAGGAAACCCTGTGGTGGGAGTGGCCAGGCCTGCTTTTTTGGTAGTGGTGGTGGGGAGTGCGTGTCTAGAAAACCTTCACTGATTGTAGGCAACACATGAGATGCGGTCTTAAAGCATAGATGTGTAAGAGTTTGCCAGGAGGCCAAGGAAGGAAGAACATTCTTGGCAGAGGCAACATGCTCAAGGCAGGGAGCCCTCAACATCATTTGATATGACTTTAGTGGGAGGGGAGAGACTACGGGGGCGAAGGTGGAGGTGGTTAGACAAGGCTGGCCAGCTATCAGAGGGCAGATTGTGGCCATCTTTGTACTCGGGTCTCAGGAGTATTTTGCCTGCAGGAATTGAGGAGTGTATGCAGTGATCTAATACCTGCAGACTTTGTGCCTGGTCTGATTCTCAATTAAATTAGTTATTTTGTGCAAAAGTGACCTGCACCATTTCTGGGGCAGGGTAACTCAGTGTGTGGCAACTGCCTCTCATTCCTAAGTTTTCTCTGAGTCCTCTGGGTCTTTAATGCTTGTTTTGGGTGCTCTACTTGTCATTTTGTGTATATTATCAAATTCTCACAACTTTAAGGAAACCAAGGCCCAAAGCAGTTAAGTAACTTTCCCAAGATTGGGGCTGCCTGGTTCAGTTGTGCACATTATTCTCTGTGTAGGGATATCTGACCAAGGATCTGTACTCTGGCCATGCTGTGTGCCCACTGAGATGTACCAGCCCAGACAGGGCACCTTTTCTAATTTGCACTGAGGTGCTGTATGGACTAACAGCAGGCAGCCTCCTCAAGATCACAATCCAAATCCAAGTCTGATTCCAGAGCTTCTTTTTTTGCCTGCATCTCTCTTAAGGACAGAGTCCACATCTGGTCATCTCTTGTTGCTCTTCTCAGTGCCTGGCCAACTATAGGGGGTGAGTAAATGTTTATTGAGTGAGTAATGAAATGGATGAATGATACGGCCCTTCCTTATAGGCCAAAAAGCAAATGGACTCCCACTTGACAAGTCCTCGAAATCGAAGAAGCAGAAACAGCAACAGCGTATTCGCAAGGAGAAGCCTCAACAACACAACTTCACCCACCGCCTCCTGGCTGCAGCCCTGAAGGTACATACATTGGTACCATGCACAACACACATACAAAGACTTAAACCCCTACACAGACTTTTCCTTTGTAGTATTCTTTGCATATTACAGACCCCTTGGTCTCTGACCAAAGTCAGCCTGGATTCCCCATTCTATCCCTTCTCACCACATCCCATTAGCACCTTGCTATTAATCCAGGCAACTGGGCCCTGGAGTCATGGCTGCACATCAGCATTCCCCATCTGCCCAGAGGGTTCCTATTCATATGTGCAACCTTTCCCCCTAGAGCCACAGTGGGAACATATCTTGCATGGACTTTAGCAGCAATGGCAAATACCTGGCCACCTGTGCAGATGATCGAACCGTCCGCATCTGGAGCACAAAGGACTTTCCACAGCGGGAGCACCGCAGCATGAGAGCCAATGTGGAGCTGGACCATGCCACACTGGTGCGCTTCAGCCCTGACTGCAGGTGGGAAAGGATGGAGCCTTAGGTTTGCCTGTAGAAGCCTAGCCTGAGGCTTATGGCCTTCCCATACATGGTTTGGCATAGTGAGGGGGGACTCAGGGTTCCCCTTGGGGTAGCAGAAAGAGAGCATCCAGACAGATCGAGCACTGCCTGGGGCTCCCTAGAGGACTAGGCAGTTATATGGCAAGGAAATAACTTGGGAAGTACCAAAGTCTGGCTTCCAGATTAGTCTTGGAAGCTATAATGATTTTCTAAGCCCTAGAAAGAAATTAAAGGAATGAAAACTCTTAGAGTTCTATCTAGTGGGGAGTTTAGATTTTGAACCAAGGGGTTAAGTTATAACACTAGACTGTGGGGCATGAGGGGAGATCTTGATTTTTCCTTCAAATCTGTTATAGTGTAGGACCTGGCTCACATAGGGTCCATGTTCAAATGAGTGTGTGACTTACTTGTCTTTAGAGCCTTCCTTGTCTGGCTGGCCAATGGAGAAACCCTCCGTGTCTTCAAGATGAGCAAGCGAGAGGATGGTGGATATACCTTCACGGCCACCCCAGAGGACTTTCCTAAAAAGCACAAGGCGCCTGTCATCAACATTGGCATTGCTGACACAGGTAAGAGGCATTCAGAGGGTGGAACTTGCCTAAGGCAGGAGGGAATGGCTCTAGTTATAAATGCTGAATGAGTTAATGTTGCCTCTCAGCATTTTGCTCAGCCTCAGCATGGTAAAGGAACTCTAGCTCTGTGTTTCCTTGGAGTCTGGGAACCATAGTAAATCCCCAAGTAAGGCAAGTAAGAGCCACATTCTTCAGTAGTCTTTATCTGCGTTGACCCTTGGCCCGGGAGGGGAGCATGGACACTTTGGGCAGCAGTGGATTTCATACGTGTTTCAATGAAGATTGATAGTTGGTCAGGTAATTGACCTCAGCTTATGTCACTCCCCTCACTCCTCAGGAAAGTTCATCATGACTGCTTCCAGTGACACAATTATCCTCATTTGGAATCTGAAAGGTCAGGTGTTGTCTACTATTAACACCAACCAGATGAACAATACACATGCTGCTATATCCCCTTGTAGCAGGTGAGGAAGGAGGGACTTTGGCATCTGGGATGTGTAGAGGTTGGGGCTGGGGGCTAGTGAACCAGCTACAGATAGTGGAGAGAGCATACAGTGTGGGATCAGGACACCTAGATTTAAGTCCTTAGTTTCTATTTCTTCATCTATAGTTTTCAAAAGGTTGAGTTGGGGTATTATGTATTTTATAGCATAGCTTTGTGGATGAACTGAGATCATGTGTATAAAAGCACTTTTAAAAGATGGTACCAATTAGATATAAGATGAAATTTCTTAAGGAAGAAGCTTAATAGGTTTGTAGAAATAAGATGCCCTTAAAATTAAGTTTTAAAGGAACCTGGATTGTATGACAGGTTTGTGGCCTCATGTGGCTTCACCCCAGATGTCAAAGTTTGGGAAGTTTGCTTTGGGAAAAAAGGTGAATTCCAAGAGGTTGTACGAGCCTTCGAACTGAAGGGCCACTCAGCAGCTGTCCACTTCTTTGCCTTCTCCAATGACTCTCGAAGGTGAGTGAATTCTCTGATTTCTTACCAATGGCTCTCAGCCCCTCTTGGTAACCAGAGTCTTTCTGCCTGTCTCTGTAGTAGCCCTGAACTGGGTGGGGTGCCTGACCCTTAGCAGGAAGTAGACATAGTAGTAGTGGAGTTGGCTTCCTAGTTGGAGCCCTTAGTGCTGTCCCAGTGCCCTCTCCTCCAGGTGTGTTGACGCTAGAGCTGTGATTTTTCTATGCTGCAGGATGGCCTCTGTCTCCAAGGATGGTACATGGAAACTGTGGGACACAGATGTGGAATACAAGAAGCAGCAGGACCCCTACTTGCTGAGGACAGGTCGCTTTGAAGAGGCAAGCAGCATGCCATGCCGCCTGGCACTCTCCCCTGATGCCCAGGTCTTGGCCTTAGCCAGTGGCAGCAGTATTCATCTCTACAATACCCGGCGGGGTGAGAAGGAGGAATGCTTTGAGCAGGTCCATGGGGAGTATATCACTGACTTGTCCTTTGACATCACTGGCCGGCTTCTGGCCTCCTGTGGGGACCGGGCAGTGCGGCTGTTCCATAACACCCCTGGCCACCGGGCAGTAGTAGAGGAAATGCAGGGCCTCCTGAAGCGGGCCTCCAATGAGAGCACCCGTCAGAGGCTGCAGCAGCAGTTGACCCAGGCCCAGGAAGCCCTGAAGAGCCTGGGTGCCTTGAAGAAATGACTCTAAGAGGGTGCAGCAGGGAGGATCTGGCCTGCTGCTGCCACCACTGCTGCTACTTTCCTTCCCAGGTACTCCCCAACTGGAAACCTTTTGAAAGGAGTATCATGATTTTTTTTTTAATGGTGACCCCTCCTTTTTCCCATTGAATCTGTTCTTACTACTTAGATCCTTTGCTTCTTGCTGGTCGTGACTCCTGGCCTGACTTGACCTCCCGGGGTAATGACTAGGGTGTTTTTTCCTGGGCCTAAGGGGTGGAATCTCTTTACTGGGCACTGAGAAGAGTGGTAAATAGAAGAGAAGGGGAGCATGGTCTTTGACCTTGTGGCAGCACACCCCAATACCCAGAGAAGTTTAAAATGTGGAAGCAAAATCTAAAGAATGCTCAAGTATTAACCAGCAGTGTTGCAGGGCTGGGAGACTGGGATGTCTTACAAATACATGACTGTGGTATGGGTGAGGAAAAGGCTAGTCTGAATCCAGGTAGAGTAGATAGCACTATTAAAAAGTAAGGGATTTCATTGTGCCACAATTATTTGTAAAATGAAGAATAATCTTTTGACCTCCTCAGAAAGGTGTTGTGGGGATATGAGAGTAAAAAGTCCCTAGATTTGAAAGAAAAGTAGAAAAGAGTAGTATCTGTTATCCAGTATCATTTATTGACTACTGGGTAAAAGAGGGTCTCGAACACTGTAGTCTGAAATTAAATTAGAAAGGAAAAAACACATCTGTTGGGAAGGTGAAATTTCTGGGATCATACATTTCATCTCTGGTACTGCTTTAAGTTGTGTGGAGGAATCGTAGAATCCACAATGAAGTCTTCTCTTTCACGAGGTTATATCTTGTTGGAGGGTACCCCTTTTTAGTCCATTAAACATTTGAATACCCAGCCTGCCCACCACAGCTCAAGGCAAGACATGATCTCTGCCATCAAAGATGGCTGGTAGGAGAGTGGTGCACGTGTCCTTTAAGTGCTTAATATTTACTATTAAGTGCTTTTTGTTAGTTTATTCATAGCTGTAGAAGGCCCTTATAAAAGTCCAGGTAAGAGAATTGAACCTGGATAAGAGGCAGTGGAGATGAAGCTGAAGTTGAAGGGATAGATTTGGTAAGAGATTAGGTATTTAGAAGTTTGAATGTTTGGATTGGTGGACTATTTGGATGTGGGAGATAAAGGAAATGAATCTAGGAAGACTTGGGTCTAGGTAAAATTTATTCATCCAAAATCACATTCTTATTTCCTTTCTTTAAAATGGGGACCTCCTCCCTTACCCCAAGTTCACATAAATGTCTGAACAAGCCACAGCCTTAAGAGTTATCTTTAATTACTCCCTTTCTTCATTCCCTCCGCCCCACTACTCCTACTACCATCCACTTCACCAAAAATTTTTGGTTATACTCTTGTATTTATATCCTAAATTTGCTACTGCTTTCCATTTTTTCTGTTACCATCCTCGTCCTAGCCACTGTCATCTACTGGATAATACAGCTTCCTTGTTGGTTTCCTTCTTTTTTTGCTTCATTAAATCACTGTCCATATAGCAGAGTGATCTTCTGAAATGTAAACAAGATCACATTGCTCCCCAGTTAAAACCCTCCAAAGGTTTCCCATCACACTTGGAAGAAAATCCAGAATGCTCATCATTGCCCTCAGAGTCATAAGTAATCTGGCTTCTTCCTTGTGTGTGCTTTTTACTACTCTCCCAATCACCCCAACCTTGCTGTTCCTCAGCCAAGCCAAGTTATTTCCAGCCTCAAGGGGGATTTGTGCCTATGTTCTTCCCTCTGCTTGGAAGCAGTTTTCTTTTCTGTTGGCTGAGTTGTCGTGCTTGTCACAATTCAGGTCTCAGTTTCAGTTAACACTTCAGAGAGACGGTCCCTAACCACCCAATTTGAAGTAGCCCTTTCCACCAATCACATCACAACACATCCATCATATTAGTGCATTTTATTTATTTTGTATTTCATAGTGCTATCCGAAATTATCTTGTTTGGATATATTTGCTTCAGGGGTTTCAGTATAAATGCTTATGGATGTCAAGTGGGTAATGTAAATGCACGAATTGGGTGTCTTCTGGGTGTAAGACAATAGGAAATAGTAGGGACTGAAGTGATCTCTAGAGGGCATGTATCCTGGGTAAGGGGCAGGGTTGGCTGCCACTTATTCAGAATCCAGCAGAAGTTGCCGGATTCAGAGAAGCTAAAAGTTGGCAGTTTGTTATTTAAAAAAAATTAAGCACTGTGTGGACCAAACAAAACACTAATGTGGGCCAGATGTAGCCCACCAGTTCTCTTAATTGGCAGCTTCTGGAATGTTCATTAACCCACTGGAATGTGAGATCCACAAAGGCAGAATCTCTGTCTTTGTGGATCTCACAAATTCTGATTTGCTCTATCCCAAGCACAATACCTGGGACAGAAAAAGCCCTCAATAAATGAACTCAAACCAGTGCATTTGACAGGAAGTTCAGTACCCTCTGTGAATATCCTCCCATTCTCGCTTTCCACTGTGGTTTTATGTTCCCAATAACAGATTTCTGATTGGTAATGCTATGCACATGGGTCCTGGTGAATATTAGCTTTCTGATTGTCAGAATAATGAGACTAAAACTCTTCTTTACATATCTGCTTGGCACTGGCATTCCTCACTGTGAAGTGTTGAGTTACTGAAGTCAGAAGTCTTCCGTTTTGGTTTCAGCTGGATCACGGACTGATTTGAGATCTTGAGCAGATAGACCACTGACTACTCTGAGTTTGTTTCCTTATCTGTAAAATGGGACTAAATCCTGTCCCTGTGTTTCTGATGAGCTGAATGAAAGCACTACAAAAAAAGTGGTTACAGAGACTTCATGAGGACAGAAAGCTCCTTTCACTAAAAATGAGCCTGCTTCTCTTGTAAGCACGGGGAAGCTATCTGGATATTAATGTAGAACAGAGACTGCTGTGTTATTTTGATCAAAAATCCTTGTGTATGAAGGCAGCATAATATTTTAATATTACTATTCAACTTATGTGGGTTTGAAATTTTTCAAAATAAAAAGTTGGAGAAATGTTTTAAATGGTGGTATATAGTTTATTTTATCAGTTATCAAAAATAAAAATATTTAAACTACAGTTTTCATCAAGGTAATTATATTCATATTTAAATGATTATTCTGTAATTAGAGATTATAGGAAGTTAGTAGGAAGCACATACTAATGTGATGAGTTATCAGTGATGCTGGGTTATTTCATTTAGTGCTAGATAGACCCAACACTGTCCTAAATTGGCCTCATATCTAGGAACTTAATAATTTGGAGATTCATGTACTCCTCTAAAAAATTCCAAGAATAGGGATCTTTCTTGTGAGAACGGCTTGGTTTCAGCCCACAGCTCTTCAGGTAGAAGCCCACAGACGGACACAGGTTTGTAGCCACAGCAACTGAAAGCATGATTCATACACACAAAATCGTGAATGTCTTCTGAGATTGTGACTGCATTTCCAAGTCTTCATTTCAGGCTACAAACTTCCAGAGCTCAGGGTGGTTAGAAAGTGAGTGTGGTTTCTACTTGCTTTCTATTCAGTATGCAAACCCAATGTGAGCCTATCTGCATTTTCTTGATTACGTTAATACTGGCTAACATTGAGTGCTAAGCATTTAATCCTTACCAACTTGCTACTGGTTTTGCCTCAGCCATTCTCCCTGTAACCACATGTTTTTATTTGGTGAACTACCACTTCCCTGACTCGTGATCCATATGATTTACAGAGGATAGACCCAGATGCTCCATAGTGGAAGTATGATGAATCAGTAGATCCCTGGACATGACCAGAACTTCAGAAAAGTGAAAATATCTTTCATTTTCTGCTGGGATTGCTTAGTAAGTAAGATGTAAGCTTGTTATGTGTAGTCCTGTCTGAGAATGAAGCTAACACAGGAAAAGAGGGCCAAAGATGTAGAGAGATCACATGCTGATGATGCTGTTTAGACTGGCAGATTCAGGCAAGCCTGAGGTTTCCACCAGTAGAGTTGTCAGTTACAAAATAGTAAGTTACTGTAGATGATTAAGTCAATTTGAATCTGGATACTCGAAACCAAAAAAGCTTTAACATTAATATTATTAGTAAATTGTCCGAGGCATATAATAAATGGCATGCCCTGATAGTTAAGTTTAGGCCGGTCTGGTACTAAGTTACATACTTCTAACTACCAGGTCCATCCCCAAGAATACAAATGGAGGCCCATATGCACATCTTAATATCTAAACGTTATAACTCAAACTAAGCTCAAATATGCTCTATCCTATCTTGACAGGTACAACATCCCAGAAGGCCAAGCATGCACTTTTATAAAAATCAGTAAGATCATGACATGATAATATGGAAAGAATAGTAACCTCTCATTATATATATTTTCCCAGCTGATTCAGAGCAGCTGTTATGAGGGATCAGTTATCCCTATATTGCAGATGAAAAACTGAGGCTTTGGAGGTTAAGTGGCAAGCAAAAACTCAACCCTGGGACTGAGTATAGAGTTCAAGCTTGTTCTTGGAGTTCCCTGACACTGACTCTGACCTTGTCTTCAGCGGTAGGTTCCTTGAGGGCAGGGACTTTATGGTCTTAGGAGTTCGTGCTACACCTCTTTTTATCCCTAGTGCACCACATAAGTGGGCACACAGTAGGTACTTCATATTTGTTGGTAAACGAATGTAGTTATTGCTCAATAGTAAATGAGATCCCTATCACCACCCCTTCCTCATCCACCATGCAACTGTGCTGCCAATAGAAATTCCATTACTTTCTGGGGTCACTGTGTTTTGTGAGTTCACACAATGTAGCATGTGACTCCCAAGAACTAATGGCTCCTGAGCAAGAAGATAACATTAAGACGCAGAACTGAAAGACCAATCCCTGGGGTTAGGAGCCTACAGCCCCGAGCACCTGCTAGTACTTCAGCTCACTTCCATCACAACCAGATGATTTGAACTCTCCACATAGGCAAGAATGTCAACAGCTACAAAGCAGCATTCATGCCCGTACATAAGGGATGAGGTGAGGGTATCTACAGTTCATCAGACCCCTAAGACCTCACTCCCCTGGTCTCTCCAAGACTTCCCGGGAACCCTGGAACCCAGAGCCATGGTCTCCCCATGTAGAGATTCCAGGGTGTCAGCTGATGGGATCAATGAGGAACATCTAGAATCCATTATGATGTTGCACGGTCTCTCTTGCAATTACATGAAGCTATGTGTTGAGTCCTAGAATGTGTGCAGAGGTGATCAGTTTAATCTGGGACTGCCTCTCCAACCCATCCTGTAGTTCTCTATGCTCTCTCTTTTCTCTGCTAGCTGAGAGCAGAGGATTCAGTGGAGATTGCTGATGCTCTATCAGGGGCGTCCAACTCGTGGCCTACGGGCCGCCATACGTGGCCCAGGATGGCTATGAGTGGGACCCAACACAAAATTGTAAGTTTACTTAAAACCTTTTTTTTGTGCTCATCAGTTTTTGTGTTTGTGTATTTAATGTGTGACCCAGAGACACCAGCATGAATGAACCAATAGATGGAGGGGGAGCTTGGGCCCTGCATTGTATTGTGACCATGCACAAGAAATAAATTTATACTGTATTAAAACCATGGAATGTGTGGGATCATTTGTTACAGCAGCCAGCCTATCCTAACTATTACACTTAGTACAGAATATCTCTTCACTTAACCTATGAATGTGATTTATAATAAGAAATACCTATTTTGGTCTTTTCCCATGATTTCTGACTCAGCTTCCATAACCCTTGTAATTTCCTAAGAGATTAGAGCAATAGGGGCAACTTAAAAAAAAAAAGATTTTATTTATTTATCTTTAGAGGGGAAGGGAAGGAGAGAGGGAGAGAAATATCAGTGTATGGTTGCCTCTCATGCGTCCCCTGCCGGGAACTGGCCTGCAACCCAGGCATGTGCCCTGACTGGGAATCCAACTGCGATCCTTTGGATCGCAGGCCCGCACTCAATCCACTGAGCCACACCAACCAGGGCTAGGGGAAACTTTTAAAGTAATATTTGGTTTTGACTTCAGAAATATCTCCAGAGAGGTGAAATGGGTTTGTATTGTTATTCAAACAAGCTGAATTATATTAATTCTGTGAATTCGGTGACAGCTTGCTGCCAAGAGAACCAACCAGGTAATTATAGTGTTGGAACTTCCAGTCCCATTCTTCCCTTCTTCCAAGGAGGGGAGAGGGGCTGGAGATAAACTTAATCACCAAAGTAAATGATTTAATTAATAATGCTTACATAAAGAAGTCTTCATAAAAAGCCCTAAGTAGTTCTAAGCTCTACAGGGAGGCTGAATATGTGGAGATGCTAGAAGGGTGGCTACGTCCAGAGAAGGCATGGGAGCTCCGTGCCATTTCCCCCATCCCTTGCCCTATGCATCTCATTCCATCTGGCTGTCCTGAGTTGTCTTCTTTTAAAACAAACTGGTAATCTAGTAAGTAAACTGTTTTCCTGAGTTCTGTGAGCCAATCTAGCAATTCAATAGAACCCGAGGAGGAAGTTGTGGGAACCTCCAATTTACAGCCTGTGGTTGAGAATCACAGGGGACAACCTGGATTCTCCATTGGCTCTGAAGTGAGGATGGGAGAGACAGTCTTGTGGGACTGAGCCCTTGACCTATGGGATCTGATCCTTACTTCAGGTAGGTAGTGTCAGAACTGAATTAAATTATAGGACACCCATGGTGACTGGAATTGAGAACACTAGAGGAAGAAGCAGGAGTGTTTTTCCTGAGCAAGCTCTGAGTTTCGGGTACAGGAACCAGCTAGTGTGGCAGACAGCTTTCTGTAAATCTGAGCTATGAGATCCAGATTTACTCCACCCCACTCCTCCAATTGTTACACCTCTTCTAATTCAAAGTTACCCTTGCTGAGTCTACAGGCAGCTGGAATAGGCACAAGACCACAGAACCAAAAGCCAGAAGTCTGGGGTTCTATCCTGGCTCTGCCTCAAACAGGTTGCTCTTGAAAACTGTGGTAAATAGAAGTGAAAGCCAACTAACTGTGAAGTATTAAAAACCTGTTACCTCTCTGCACAAATCTGGCTTCCCATTTGGGGAAAAGTAGGAGGCATAGCCCAGGTGGTCTTATTCAGTCTTTGGCTGGTACCCTCACAGAATTATACCTGCCTCCAGGAATCTCTCCCTTCCCTGTGATGTCCAGTACTTGGGGAATGTATGTGGGGGGAGGACTTTAGGAATTCTTTCCCCATTTAAGCCTATACTGAGATAAAATGTCCTTCCCTTAGTTCCTAGTCTGGGAACCTGGGATGTCAGGAACCTCCTGCTTTGCTCTCAGGGGTGCCCCACATTTCTATTAACTTCTCAGCCTCTTCCTGCTTTCCACTTTTGAGGAGTTCTCACACACACATATCTTTTCTTTTTTAATCAAGGAGAACTTGGGGACCAAAGGGTCCAGGTGCTCATCTTACAGAATAGAGGCTCAGACCATGGGAGTTATTTGCCTAAGGTCATTCAGCAAGTTGTTGCGCAATGGAGAACAACACTTGGGCCTTCTCTCAGCTTAGCTAGACTATCTCCTCTCCTGCTGCAGTGGGCATAGCTCTAAGGTACTCTTCATGACTCCTGCATTCGGTGTTCATGCTTCTATCTAATCCCCTCCCTTTAAATGTGGGTAGGACCTGTGACTTGCTTCAGACCAATAGAATCTGCCAAAGAGGATGGGATGTCACTGGTGATCACATGACATTATATAAGACTTCTTGTTAGCAGACTCTCTCCCTTGCTGGCTTGTAAGAGGGTCAGTGGAAGGGCTATGTGGGCAGCCTGTAGAAGTTGAGGGCTGAAGCCTTTAGTCTTACAGGTTCAAGGAGTAAATTCTGCCAACAACCAGAGTGAGTCTGGAAGTGGGTCCCTCACCAATCAAGCCTGCACATGAGAACTGAGCCCTGGTTGACGTTGATGGTAAGCCATATTTGGGATCCTGACCCACAGAAACTAACGTTATTAGATGTGTGCTGTTTTGAGCCACTAAGTTTGTAACAGTTTATTATGGAGTATAGAAAATTAATATCCTGGACTTCTGGTCAAGATAGAAGCATAGGCAGACATGGCTTGCTTCTTTGCACAACTGGATCACAATTACAACTAAAATCATCATTCAGAGCCATCGGAAATCAAGTTGAATGTAAGTCTGACAACCATGGAATTAAATAAACCACATCCATCCAGATTGGTAGGAGGGGCGTAGATGTGGAATAGACCAGTCCCACACCCAAGTGTGGTAGATAAAAATTCAGGAGGGATGATGTCTCAGGAGCAAAGAGTACCAGACCCCCCAGCCCAGGGTTCCAGTGCCAGGACAGTAAGTCCCCACAACTTTTGGCTGCAAACTGGTGGGGATTGTGTCAGTGGAAGAAACTGCTGGAGCCCCAAGCAGTTCCTCTTAAAGAACCCACACATGGACTCACTCATTCAAAACTACTCCCTCTGAGCTCCAGCACTACAGTAGCAGCTTGAAAGGCGCCAGTCCTATATAGGGTGAGACTTAAGTGTCTGGCATCAAGGTGAGCAGAGGCCATTGTCCCTTTTCTACTGCACCCCCGCCCCCCAACTGGCAAGCTGGTGCCATATCTGAGACTCCATCAACCTGGCTAACACTGTTTGACCTGCCTTGGAGATTCCCAGACTCCGCCCCACCCAGCTTACAGCCCACCCAAACTGCTTTTCCACAAGAATGGCTGATTTGGCTAATGCTTCACAACTTTGTAAATCCTATCAAACAAGCAACAGCTGGCCTCAGTGAGCCCCAGGCCTAGCACTAGCAGCAGCCAGCTTAGATTCACAGCTTGGATTTGCCTGGGAATCTCTAAGCCCAGCACAACTAGTAGCCATTTCAGATATTGCTTTATAGCTCAGGCAGGGTGGCCCTGGGCAAAACATAGGTGGGGGCTGACCTTAGCCTGCAGCACCCAGAAAACCCCAGGGCCAGCACACCCAGTGGACAACTATAGACCACACCAATGTACCACCACCCTGCCTCTGCACAGCTGAAACTCCATGGAGGGCAGAGGTTGGTGGTAAGTGGTCACAGCCAGTCCTTGTAGCTGACTGGCCTGGGTAAATCCCTCCCGTTGAATTTCTGGCCAAGATGGAGGCGTAGGTAGATACACTGTGCCGCCTCACACAACCAAAAGAAGGACAACAGTAAATTTAAAAACAAAAACAACCAGAACTGCCAGAAAATAGAACTACATGGAAGTCCAACAACCAAGGAGTTGAAGAAGAAACATTCATCCAGACCAGTAGGAGGGGCAGAGATGAGCAGCCAGGGTGGAGAGTACATGGGGCGATGTAGTGGCTAGAGGACTGGGGCAGGTGGAGGCGGCTGGCTGACCAGGTGTTCCCACATTTGTGTGCAGGTAAACTGAAGGAACAACTGGAAAGCAAGGCATACCACACAACCCAGGGTTTCAGCATGGGGAAATAAAAGCCTCAAAACCTCTTACTGAAAAAACCTGAGGGGGTTGTAGCGGTGGGAGAAACTGCAGCCTCACAGGAGAGTTTGTTGGAGAGACTCACAGAGTTCTAGAATGTACACAAAACCAACAACCTGAATATCAGCACCAGAAGGGCCCAATTTGCTTGTGGGAAGCAGGGCAAGTGACTGAAAGCCAGTGAAGAACAGAGCAAGCGGCATCATACCCTTCCCGACCTCTTTCCCACATACAGCTCCACAACGCAACAACATGGGTTGCCCCACTTTGTTGAGTACCTAAGGCTCCCTCCCTTACTACATAACAGGCGAGCCAAGACAAAAAAAATATGACCCAAAAGAAAGAACAGATCGAAGTTCCAGAAAAAATACAAGTAAGTGGTGAAGAGATAGCCAACCTATCAGATGCACAGTTCAAAACACTGGTAGTCAGGATGCTCACAGAAATGGTTAAGTATGGTCACAAAATACAAGGAAAAGTGAAGGCTATGCAAAGTGAAGTAAAGCAAAATGTACAGGGAACCAACAGTGAAGGGAAGGAAACCGGGACTCAAATCAATGATTTGGAGCAGAAGGAAGAAGTAAACATTCAACCAGAACAGAATGAAGAAACAAGAATTCAAAAAAATGAGGAAAGACCTAGGAATCTCTGGGACAACTTTAAACCTTTCAACATCTGAATCACAGGGATGACAAAAGAAGATGAGGAAGACCAAGAGATTGAAAACTTATTTGAAAACATAATGAAGGAGAACTCCCCAATCTGACAAAGGAAATAGACTTCCAGGAAGTCCAGGAAGCTCAGAGAATCCCAAAGAAGTTGGACTCAAGGAAGCACACACTGAGACACATCATAATTTACATTACCCAAAATTAAAGATGAGGAGAGAATCTTGAAAGCAGCAAGAGAAAAGGAGACAGTTATCTACAAAGGAGTTCCCATAAGACTGTCAGCTGATTACTCAACAGAAACCTCCCAAGCAAGAAGGGGCTGGAAAGAAGTATTCCAAGTCATGAAAGGTAAGGACCTACATCCAAGATTACTCTATCCAGCAAAGATATCATTTAGAATGGAAGGGCAGATAAAGTGCTTCCCAGATAAGGTCAAGTTCAAGGAGGTGATCATCACCGAGCCCTTATTATATGAAATGTTAAAGGGAATTATCTATAAAAAAGAAGATAAAGAATATGAACAGTAAAGTGATAACAAACTGACAACTTTCAACAACTGAACCTAAAAAACCAAAAACTAAAACCAACTAAGCAAACTACTAGAACAGGAACAGAATCACAGAAATGGAGATCACATGGAGGGTTATCAGTGGGGAGGAGTAGTGAGGAGAATGGGGGAAAAGGTACAGGAAATAAGAAGTATAAGTGATAGGTACAAAATAGACAGGGGAAGGTTAAGAATTGTACAGGAAGTCGCCCTGGCTGGTGTGGCTCACCAGATTGAGTGCAGGCCTGTGAACCAAAGGATCGAAAGTTTGATGATTCCTAGTCAGGGCACATGCCTGGGTTTTGGGCCGGGTCCCCAGTTGAGGGCATGCGAGAGGCAACGGATCAATGTATCTCTCACACATTGATGTTTCTCTCCGTCCTCTTTCTCCCTCCCCTCCCCTCTCTCTAAAAATAAATATATAAAAAAAAAGATTTGTATAGGAAATGGAGATGCCAAAGAACTTACATGTATGACCCATGGACATGAACCAAGGGGGTGGAATGTGGGTGGGAGGAGGGGTGATGCAGGGCAGAGGGGAATAAAGGGGGAAAATGGGACAACTGTAATAGCACCATCAATAAAATATATTAAATAAATCCCTCTCATTGATCTGCCAACAGTAATCAAGGCTCAACTACAAGAGGAGAGTGTACTCAGCACACATGAAGGGCACATCTTGAGTACCCAGTTTGGGTGATAGGGGAGACTGTGCCACTGGACCCTACAGGACACCTACTACATTAGGCTACACTACCAAGACATGGAGTCAAAGCAGCTCTATGTCATACAGAAAAACAAACACAGGGAGGCTGCCAAAATTAGGTGACAAAGAAACATGGCTCAAATGAAAGGATAGATCAAAACTCCAGAAAAAGAGTTAAATGAAATGGAGATGAGCAATCTATCTGATGCAGAGTTCAAAACATTGGTTATCAAGATGCTCAAAGAACTTAGCGAAGACCTCAACATAAAAACAACCCAGTCAGAAACAAAGGATACACTAATTGAAATAAAGAACCATTTACAGGGAAATAACAATGGAGTGGATGAAGCTGAGAATCAATGATTTGGAACATAAGAAAGCAAAAACGAACAATCAACCAAAAAACAAAACAAAACAAAACAAAAACCAATCCCTCAGAACAACAAGAAGAAAAAAGGAATAAAAAAATGAGGATAGTATTAAGCAGCCTCTGGGATGACTTTAGGAGGTCTGCCATTCACATCATAGGGGTGCCAGAAGGAAAACAGAGCAAGAAAGAATAACTATTTGAAAAAATAAGGAAAGAAAACTTCCCTAATTTGTTGAAGGAAATAGACATGCAAGTCCAGAACACAGAGTTCCAAACAAGATGAATGCAAAGTGGCCCAACCCAAGACACTTCACAATTAAATGCCAAAGATTAAAGATAAGGAGAGAATCTTAAAAACAGCAAGAGAAAAGCAGTTAGTTACGTACAGGGCAGTTCCCATAGGACTGTTAGCTGATTTCTTAAAAGGTAGGCTAGAAGGGGCTGGCAAGAAATATCCAAAGTCATGAAAAGCAGTGGCCTACAGCCAGGCTATTTTTAGAATCGAAGGGCAGATAAAAAGCTTCCCAGACAAAAAATTGAAGGAGTTCATCATCACCAAACCATTATTATATAAAATGTTAAAGGGGCTTATTTAAGAAAAAGATCAAAACTAGGAAAAATGAAATGGCAACATATATATCTATAAACAATTGAATCTAAAAATCAAACTAAGTGAACAAGAAAAACAGAAACAGAATCCTGGACACGGAAAGCTTTTGATGGTTCCCAGATGGGAGAGGCATGTGAGGAAAATGGGTGGAGAGGTGAGGGGATTAAGAAGTACAAATAGGTAGTTATGGAATAGCCATGGGAATGTAATGTACAGTATAGAAAATGGAGTAGCCAAAGAACCTATATTCATGACCCTTGGATATAATAATGGTGGGAGGATGGCCTGAGGAAGTGGGCAGTGCTCGGTGGAGGGGGGCAAAAGGGGAAAAACAGGATAACTTAATAGCATAATCAGTAAAATATAATTTTAAGAAATGTTTATTTTTAGAGAGAGGGGAAGGGAGGGAGAAAGAGAGGGGGAGAAACATCCATGTGTGGTTGCCTCTCATGTGTCCCCCACTGGGAACCCTGCCTAAAATCCAGGCATGTGCCCAATCTGGGAATTGAAACAGCAACCCTTTGGTTCATAGCACAGCACTGAATCCACTGAGCCATGCCAGACAAGGCAAAATATTTACTTTATTTTACTTTTATTTATTTTTTAACTTTATATCTCCATAAGAAAACATAGCACTATTGAGTGTCTATTACATCCTATAGAGAACTTCAATCTTAGGTCACAGAATTAAGAGCTCCTGGTTTTGGTCCCATAAGCTCTCTTTGAAATGACCTAAAAAAATATTTTTTTAAAAGCACTCAAGGTCGTGGATTCCGGAGGGACACTGGAAAAACACCTGAGGGAGGTGAGACAGGCACGCAAATATATGAGGGATGTGTGTTCCAAGGGGAGGGACCTACAGTGCAAAAGCCCTGAGGCAGTTTTCCTGGCTGTATTCAGATGAGCAAGGAGGCCAGTGTAGTTGAAGCAGAGACAGCCAGAATTAGTTGTAGGAAGTGAGGTCAGAAAATTAATGAACATAGGTGTGGGGACAGGTGGGGCATTTGAGGCCACTGTAGCTTTTATTGAGAAAGGGAAGCCACTGCCTCTAATGCAAGTTGCTCAAGGCAGAGGTCTGGCCTGGCTCATCTTGGCACCTAGCATAAGTCTTTCACCTAGAAAATATCAAGGTGCAAATTTTCTAAAATAAAAAAAAAAAATTTTGTGTGTGATTTGTGTGGCTTGCAGGGCATATAGTTGTTAGGTGCCCATTTTGGTCACTATCTTAGGCAGAAAGTGCTGCAGTGGAGACATGGTGAGGAATGTAGGGCCAGGTGGACAAATGTGGGCAGAAAACAGATGGATCACTAGATCTTTGGGAGCCAGGGATTACCAAGGAAGATGACTGACTGGCAGGGTGGGCTGGAGGAGAAAGGGGTGAAGGAGGCTAGTGCAGTCAGGACAAGCAGCGTGCTATGCGGCAGACAAGCTGTAGGAAAGAAACCTTAGCCAGGAGGCTGGCTGGGATGTGAAAATGAATAAGAGCTTAGACAACTGCCAGGAGTTGGGCTAGGTGCCTAGACTGGGGGGACTTATTAACAGAACTGGAGAGGTCTAGAGAGTCAGCCTCTCTCACAACACTTACCACCTTATGCCTTCTGTCTTATTTTTGGGTTGCTTTTTCCTTATTCTCGAGGGTAGAGAGTATGTCCTACTCGCCCAGTGTCCACTGCTATACGGCATATACCAGGTGCTCAGGCAGTGCTTGTTATTTTTGGATCAGTTGGACTTGAGAAACAGGTGTGCCTACCTCCTTTTATCCCATTATTTCTAGAATGATTCCTTCCCTCCATATGTTGGTTTCACAAGTCCACTCCTCAGTCAGGCAGACGCTACTCCTGAGCCTCTTACTAGCAAGACAACATATGCTTATCAAGCCTTGCTATTGGTCAATCATTGAAGGATGAACAAGTCACAGACAGAGGCTGTGTGAAGTTCAGGGTTAGCTAGGTATTTCTCTGGGGCACACAGGAGGGAAGTTTCTCTAGAGGTGACAGGAGTAGCCACTACCAACCAATGTAAACTGTCACCTGCTTTGTCTCCTGAAACAGCTGATACAGGACCCTCCCTGCATACTACTGTAGGCATCAATAAATGCCTGTCTGGTGGGAGTTGCACTGAATATTCAGCATTCACCCAAACATTTACTGAGCTTCCACACTGTGTGTGGACACAGTTATGCCTTGGAGCAATTACATCTACACTATTTTCAGAAGTCAACTTCAAGGTCATTTCCCCCCAGAAGCCTCCTGATACCTCTCAGTTAGATTAAGGTTGTCCTAGTACCTTGTACTTTCCTTAGCATTTATAAAATGGCATTTTAATGCCTATTTTCTGGTTTGTATATTCTACTAAACTGTCAATTCTGTGAAAGCAAAATCCCAGATTTTGTCCACAGCCCTTAGGATAGAGCATTGTACAATACAGGCAACATTTAATTAACTATTGCTTAATTAAATAAGACAGTGAGGTAGTGTGGTAAGTATGAACAAAGTGGAACCCCAGGATGTCAGGTGAACGCTTCTCAGTTCAATTGGATGTTGAGAGAGTACCAAACAGGTCAGTTCCTCTGGTGAGGAACACGTGTGCACGATGTTGGAAGGCATACTGAAGAAAGGTGTGAAATTCTCTGTGGTTGGAACACAGCAGCATATCTGGGGAACTAGGGCACCAGACAAAAGGGGCAGAAGGGCAGGATGATGCCGAATCGCGGTCTCCTTAAGGTCAAGTCCCTAAGACACAGATAATGGCAGCAAACCTGGCCTGAGAATGAAGGTGCCCACCCCTGAATCCTCTGGGAAAGTATCAGCGATTCCATTGGCAGTGCCTCGCACCTCGCCCTGCCCGCAGCACATGCCCGCCGCTACCTGGCCGCGGCGGGCTTGGGGGTTAAGGGAGATCCCTCCCCGGGCACCCAGGGGACCCAGTCACCAGAGGCGGGGCGCGCGGGCGCGCAGGCGCGCAGAGGCCTGGAGCCCCAAGGGGCGGGCGGGTGCGCGCGATGCCTCGCGCACGCGCGCAAGGAGGGGGTGACGGCCGAGGTGACGCTGCTGCGGCGGGAGGGTAGTGGCGCGTGAGGGGCGCGATTCCTCGGGTCTTGGGAGCAATACCCTAGCTCCCATCGCTCCCGCCGCCACCATGTCGGGCAGGTCAGTCCGGGCCGAGACCCGCAGCCGAGCCAAGGACGACATCAAGAAGGTGATGGCGGCCATCGAGAAAGTGCGGAAATGGTGAGGGGCCAGGACTGAGGGTGCTAGCAGGGGTCCCCGGCCCAGGCCCAGAGGAGCGCCAGACTGACGGGTGGGATGGAACCTACCGGCTGGTGTTTGGGGGAGGGGGTAGCAGAAGAAGGCGGGAGGAGAATGCGGCTTGGCTGGCGTGAGGTCAGAGGGCGCATTCGCCGTGGCCAATCAGCGGCTGGGCAGGCTCTGGCCACGCCCACCTGTCAGTAGGTGGTGCGTCACAGGGGAGCGCCGGTATCCGGTTATACTGGTCTGCTTGGCTTCTCTCCTTGCACCTATATGGGCACAGATGCATCTCCTTGTCAGCCTGACTCTGGAACCTTTTGCATTGTGAACTGACCCATATAGTAATTAACTGACTATCCCGTCCGCCACACTAAGCGCTGTACATATTAACACATCGAAGTTTGGTGAGAGGTACTCGGTACCTACCTGCCACGGGAGCACACTTGGTATGGGAATCAAAACTTGGTATGGGACACTTATGGTCAAGATACTTCCTATATTTGACTTTTAAGCCTCAAAAATGGCAATTTGATATAATTAAACTTAATGATTAAGTGAGTAATAGTGAAATGAGTTGTTTGATGTCTGTTTCCAACTGAAGTGTAGGCTCTGTGATTGTAAGGACTGTGTATCTTGTTTCTTGTGTGCCCAGGGCCTGCCACAGGGTTTTGTATATTAAATATTTGTTAAATAACTGAGGAAATGGAGTCTTGTCCAGGAATTAACTTCTGGTATTCTAAGTCTGTAGTTCATTCTTTCTGTTACATCAGTTTTCTTTTATACTTTCCTGTGATGTCATTTGATGAATAGTATCATCAGTAGCAATAGAAACAACAGTTACATTTTTTGCCTTTTTATATGATCAGATTTGGACTTGAATTTTTCACAAGTCATATTTCAAGTGCCCCATCTCTGCTTGTCCATAATTTACTGCCTTATTCAAGAATATCACTTGCTTTACCCTAGATGTGTGCCTGGGAAGAAAAATAAAGCTACTTGTATTTTTAAGGCTTATCTCAAAAGTTACTTCCTCTAAAGTAATACCATAAATCAGCCCTTCAATGGCTTGGTCTTCATCTCTTCCAGAAGACAATATAAGGCTTGGTTCTGTTAGCTGGAAGCATCCTGGCCTGTGATTATTTTTCAGTGGAGTTGTGTTTCAACCCAGAGTTCCACAGGAGTCATAGGAGTTAGCTCATCTATGGGATATCCTAGTCTTACTCTGTCTTTTTGTTTTAATTTTATTTATTTATTTATTTATTTATTTATTTATTTATTTTAGAGAGAGGGGAAGGGAGGGAGAAGGAGAGGGAGAGAAGCATTGATATGTGAGAGAAACACTGGTGGATTGCCTCTTGCATACCCCCAGTTGGGGACCTAGCTTGCAACTCGGGCATGTGCCCTGACTGGGAATTGAACCAGTGACCTTTCCTACTGCAGGCCAGTGCTTAATCCACTCAGCCACACCAGCCAGCACTTACTCTATCTTTCAGCCTTGTCATTCTTGCCACCTTCAATGATTTCCTTATTCCTTCCAATGAGCTCCCCTGGTAGGGACCATATCTTATACATCTTTTATATCCTGTCCTGCAGGGCCTTGTATAATAGGGCTGTATAAATATCTGTGAAATTGAGTTAAGTTTTGGAAAATAGATAGATGCTAGGTAGATACCTGAGTTTGGAAATGTGCTGGCACTCTATATTGGTATAGTGAGGAGAAAAGTGGCTCTGGTACATTGTACATGAGGAAAGGTCAAAGTACAGAGTTCAGATCAAAAGGAATTTGACAATTTTTCTGAAAGAATGACTGTGCACTGAAAGTTATGGTGTAATTAGACAGATAGGAAGTTTGGAAGGTCTTTAAGATTGAAGGAATGATCTGCTGAGAAATAGGGCAGCACAAGTTATGAACAGAAAATCTATTTTATTCTTTTATCAGTCCTAAGAAGTGTCTTTCTTTTAGGGAGAAAAAGTGGGTGACGGTGGGTGACACATCCCTTAGGATATTTAAGTGGGTTCCTGTAACAGACAGCAAGGAGGTAAGTGTGGAAGAAAATCCCAACAAAAAAGGTACTGTTTTCTTTCTTTGATTGACTTTTAATGATAAAGGAATTTATTTCCCCAGACTTGAGAGTAAAATACATAAAGGCACCACCCCCTGTCACTGGCTCACACAAAGCTTCCCTTTATTCCCATTCCTTAACCTATCCCTCTTTTCCAGGGCTTGGTGAACTGCAGCTCAGGCTGTTCCCTGTGGGTGTTAGTGCAGCTTTTTTGGAACTCTGCTGTGCCCACTGGTTTCCTTATTGCATGACTGCTTTTGAGTTATAATGGCAGAGTTGAGTATTTGCCATAAGACCTGGTGGCCCACAGAGTCTAAAATACTTATTATCTGGCTCTTTGAGAAAAAGTTTGCTGACTCCTGCTTTTATCCAATTAGCTACTCACTGTAATGTACTTTTATGTGTTTTATATGTGTGTATGCC